AGACCCGTTTCTTGTTTCTGAAAAGTAATTTCAAATAAACATCACATTCTGCACCTGCTTCACGAAGCAAAGGAGTCAGATGTGTACACAAAAACCTACAGCCTTCACAGCAGGGCTATAAAATTAGCAGAGAGCAGTTTGTAAGTGCCGCAACTACCTATGTAGTGACATAGGTTCACCACTTGCCTCCACAGAGAGGGCCTGTAGTTTTTCAAAAATCAGTTTAGTTGGATCGGTATGCCGGGTGAGCTACAACATCTCGCCTAGTGGGGACTCGAGCTGTAGATGTCACTTCTCAACAGCCATGTCTGCAAAGGGTCACTGGCAAGGCTGTTACATACACGCACGAAGCAGTGCCATGCAGGTAGGAGGTGTGATTTAGAAACGTACCAAATGGTGTAACAGAGAGACGCAACCAGTCTGACAGAGTCCCTCCTTAAATAGCAATTGATAGTGAGCAAATAAAAAATGTGTTTCGCTTCTCTTTTCACAACAGAGTTGTGCTACAGAAGAAAAGCACACAACTCAGCTAACCACAGGGACTTTGCTCTTGTTTGATGGCAGTTGTCCTTTTGCAACTGCCTGTTGCTCATGAATGCGCGAGGCTAGAGTAACCCAGTCAGCTATTTATTTAAAGTGGAGATGCTGTTTGGTGAACACTTGGGCAATCAGGAGGAACACGAGAAGAGGCCCTGGTTCTCTGGGACAATGGCAAATCTTGCTCATGGGATGGATTGGTTCAGCAAGCAAGGCAGCTGGGGGAGAGCAGAATGGTTAAAAATCCTCTTGGTGGAAGGGAGAATGATGCTGCAGGTGGTATGGGGGCACCTCACCCACCCTGAGTGGCATCAAGTTTGCCAGCAGTAAGTCCCACTCACACCACCCAGCACTGGTCACACAGTCAGCTGGCCAAAGGGCTTCAGTGAGCAGCTGTGCTCCATGGACATCCACACCCACCTTATCTGAGCATGGCACAGGCCAGGGAGCTGATTGCTTGGCAGCCAGTTTCCCCCCTCAATCAGTCTCCCACCTGTCCCCATTCAAACTTTGCCTTATTCCTACAGTTGAGAGACACATTCTTTCTAGTAAAGTATTTACAAAAGAACCCCAGATCTCTTAAGCCTGTAAGCACTACTGAAGACTTTGTTTTGATTTTATTTTGTAGGAAAAATGTCACACAAATTAAAAGGGTTTGGCAATTTCTGATCTGGCAGAAGACAAGCGGCAGGCAGAAGCCACATAACACAGGTAAGGCTGCTTTTGCTTCCCTGAAGCCTGTACTTTCCAAACAACTGATCCAGAAAATGCTGTAGCAGCCATCTTAAAGAAATTACAGAGTTCCCCTGTTCAGACCAGGCAGCACTGGACCTTTCCTGAAAAGCCTTGCACCAAGAGAGTGTACGTGAAGGGACCCATGCTGCCTGGTCTGGACATGGAGCATAAGCACCAGCTCTGGACTCCAGGTGGGTTATGGTGTTCTACTGTTAGCATACAATAATCAGAATTACTTGCTTCTGCTCTCTGCTCCTGGTACTCTCTGCAGCTCAGCTCTTCTTGGCCTGTTCATCTGTATCAATGTCAGTACGTGCAACAACCAAGCTGGAAATCTATGAACCTCCTCGTGATCATCAGTTGCTTGCTTTGACAAAGAGACTATGTGGAGAGGACCCAAACACTGTGCAGAGTAAGGAAAAACACCCTGCATTCATGGTGTCCCAATCATGATGGGAAAAGAACAGATTCCAAAGAATTAACAAACCTAATTTTCGTGACACAGCCAAGAATGCACAGTCAAGTGAATAGCTCCTGGGCACAGGCCACCCATTTGACAATAATACAGTTATAATCCAGACATGTCTGCTACCAGCAGGAAGATACACCACTAGGATGGTGCAATAAAATAATCAACAAAACAGGTTTTCTAATTGGGAAAAGCACTTTGAACAGGCTTCTTTAAAACCTGTTTGCAACCAGTTTGTCTGTCTCCTGAACTTCCTACCCCACCTAGTTATCTCTTCCTTCAATTTTTGCAATTTCAAACATTTTGAAGTTGCATCCAAAAGGAAGAACTTCCCAAGCATAACACTGCAGAGAATAGCAACAAAAAAATGTTGCAGCATACCATCTTCTGGGAGTGGCACTCATGTCCAAGTGAAGTTGCCAGATTAACAGCTCCTGATCAAGATCAGGCCAGACCATCAATCACATGCCTTGTGCCTTCACATACTGAGTGTGTGTTTACGCTTATTTTTCAGGTGATTCTGGCTCATTGGTGGAAGGAAAAGGTTAGTTCATTTTCATCTATCTTCCTTTCTCTATTCTCTTTCCCTCTAGAGAGGCACACTTGCCTCCTAGGGCATGATCAGATACTGGAGAACTTAAATATCTGTTTATTTCTGCCCAGAGCATTTTTAGAGACCTCACAGAAGGGCACCCAGAAGACAATGAAGGAAAAGCATCTGGGGCAATGTAAAAGGTGCGTAGAATAGACAAAGAGCCTGCAAGGTCACTGATCACCTAGCGGAAGACAGGGAGGGAAAAGCAGATTTCCCTGCTGGTCCGGCTCTGCAGGCCACATCAGCTTTCCAGGCTCTCCACACATGACAAAACCATGAGATTTCCTAACACTGCACCTTCTCCACCACCACTCTGAAGGATCCAACACCTCCAAAGAAAAGCACTGCTTCACAGGACAGCTGACAGTGATGGGGGAAGAGGTTCAAGCAGATCTAAATAAGTAAGTCAGTCTTGTCTAAGTAGGGTAGGACAAACTGTCACCAGCTCCCTGGGGGTGGTACTGCTGACAGTGCCAATGCTCACAGGACACTGGGCACTGAAGCTGTCACCTCTACCAGGGTTTATAAAAAAGGTGTTTTTAAAACTGATTTCCCAAGTCATGCAGAAAGGAGCTCCCATTTCTTCAGGTGGTAACACTGGTGACTGAATCACTCAGTGCAAATTTCAACACCTTAAAAAGCGAGCATGCCCTTCCCTTTCCACCCTTCAAGGGCCCTTCATAATGGCACATGGGTGCAACTACATGTCTAGCAAGCCCAACTGTAGCCCTGGTTACATCAAAGCACCTCTCACTGACCTCCAGGAACCTCCAAGTTAGGCTTGGGTTTGAAGAAAGAATCTCACTACAATTCTTATCAACACCATTTTATGTCAGAGACACTGAAACTAGCAGGACAGCTTCATCCCCAGTCTGATTACCAGCTAAGCTAACTGTTTCAACCACACTGGAATAACATCATGTAGGAAGAGTTACTAGGCCTTATATCTGGTCAGGAGAGACAGCACAATACAGCAATACAGGCCCATACAGCAATAAATGAGACCAGAACTATCTCATGCTTGAATGCACTGAAAGGAAAAACTGAAAGGCACACATGGCTTCCAACACTCAGTAGTTTAAAGCTTGCAGAAGACATGTTGACAAAATTCAATTTAGGCACATCTAACCTAACAAGAGCATTAGAGGACCTGACAACAAAAATTATCTAGATCATTATAAAAAACCTGTACCATGAAGTCCAGAATTAAATTCATTTTTTTCCTTAACAGATTACAGACACTATGCTTAAAGACTCCTACTGCATTGTGCCTGAAGGAGAACTCTAGTCACAAACAGAATTTTCATGGGATAAGGAGTATCAGCCTATATCCATGCACACAGTGGGAGCTGGGTACTTCAATTCTTCAGCTATTTGTAATAGTCCCATCTTGTAACTGTAGTACCTGGGGATAGGGATACCATTTCACCTACTTTGTGCTAGTCCCAACACAGAAAGCTTGGGCATTAAGTTACACTACTTTTTATTACTATTCCCCCTACCGACTATCACGCCGTCCCCTTTGACACAAGAGCTCCAGAACACCCTTGGCAAAGAAAAAACCCTTCACTACCTGCATTTGCACTGAGAAAAAAAAAAAAATTAAAATCAAGATCTATTAGCTGTCAATGCTGCTGTTGTACCACCTTCCACTTAAACAGCATCCATGATGTATCTTCTTTCTTCTGTTTCATGTCAAGGAGAGAGTATAGTCATACTAAAAGATACTTGTCTAAGTCACTAAATTGGGTTGAATTCATGCAATGTGTCTGTGCTGAGGGTATGCAAACAGCAAAGTTAACAGTTCTTTTAAACCTTGTTCACATCACTGAGCACGCAAGAGCACTGCAGGCCTTCTGCGCTGGCTTTTTAGCTTGTTGCAGTTTGCGCATCTCCTGCCTTTAAAAGAAAAAAAGAAATACTGCCTCAATTAAAGTACTCTTATCAGTAAATCTATCTGCAACTCTTGCTGCATAAGTCAGCATGGCAAAACCATCTAGAACAGCTTTCTAGGGTGTGCTGTTTCTGCCCTCATTCTTGAATCTTGCATAGAAGGGGGACAGGCCACACACGTGAGCTGCTTGCTCCCAGCTCCTCATTGATGTGCAATGTTCAGAAGAAAGCAAGGCACGCAGAAGGTAAGAACCAGGCCTTGTATGGAAGCAAGCCCCTCACAGTCACGTAGTGTTTCAGCTCCTGCTCTACCATTGCTTCTCATCCTTGCTCTTTTCCCCTCCCGAATCCAAAAAAATCTGCCCAAGGATGGAGTGCAAGAGTAGAGCTTACTTAAACTACTCCTTTCAACAGTTTCATGTTAAACACACTGAGTATATCAGGTGCCTTCAAAACACCTTATCTTCCTCAAATTAACATTTACGGAATGATTTTATTTTCAAAAAAAGCTCTAAGGATGTTAAGCACCTACTGAAGTCGATGTTGTTGAAAAAATGCAAAAACTGAACCAGCACCCCTATATACTCACATGATGACAGCCCCAGTACATGGTATATTATCTCTTTCATCTGCCACCCTAGACTGGTTTTAGACAATTTTACATGTGCATTAAAATATATTTTATTAAAACAGAAGAGAATTAAATGAGTACTAAGTGGACATACCTAATTTTATTACCAAAAAAAGAAATTGATGCATTTACTGTATTCATTTTTTTCTTTTAAAATTTTATCTTTTATTCACTCATCAAGAGCCAATAAGTTATATAAATCAGTTTTCATCTCCTTACTGAAGTAGTCAACAAGGTTTTTACTTATTTTTATGCTGACCGGGTAGCACATTAGATCTTTAGAAGTGTATTGGTCTTGGTTCTTCCACAGAGGTTCTTCGTGAAAACGCTACCTTTCTCGCGCAGGTTTCCGTGAAACCTCTTCCACGTCATGAGCATAGCGTTGCGGTTCCTCGGGGAGGTTCCGCAGGCAGCCGTTTCAGGTGTCAAGGCACTCGACGCTGTGCAGGTCCATCCGCACCGAGAGAACTAGCCCAGGAGGCCGGCAGGGTGGCCACCACACACAGCAGCCACCCCTACCCTTCCACCTCACTGGGGCTCTTTGAGGGAAGCCACGAATTACACTGAAGCTCCATGCTGAAGGCAGGGGCAATGATTCCATTTGAGAGATGTTAAACCAAATAGTTTTGTATTTAATTACGTTAAGAGTTCCAGAAGGTTAAAACCATAGACAAATGCACAGAACTTCTGTCAATGACAATGAACTGAGGCAGCAACATTGTCATCCCCATGCTTTAAACAGTGTCTAAAGCAACTTCTAAACAAGTACAATTTTGGATACTCATGTAGAACTTAAACAGTGATTTTTTTGTTTGCTTTACCTAGTATGAAGGGTTTTCAAACACTTCAGTAACTTATAACTAGTCCCATGGGTTGCCATTTCCCTGTCTGCTTCTCATAAGCAGATGTTTTGCTTTGTATACCAATAATAGATTTTTTTTTCCCCAATAACAATGCAATCTATTTTTCATGGTAACACACAAAAGCATTCTAGTCTTGCTCCTCTTCATCTCCATCCTCATCTTCATCCCCCTGATCTCCAGATTCAATATCATCTTCGTCTTCAACCTGAAATTCAAGATCTCTTGTGAGCAGTAACATCCCTTAACTCTGATCCAACCTTTTGATGGCAAGACAAATGCTAAGCGAGTGAAAATAAGCTTAAGCCTAAACTAAAATTATCATGCTGCATCAATTAGTGGTTACTAAAGGCAACTCCTCTGCTAAGGGTGGCTGACTGCTGTGAACCACCGCCTCTGTTCAGCACCGTCAGTTCTGCCCGGTACATTCGAATAAGTGGCTTTGGTTCCCCATACAGTTGCATGAACTAAAACCCCTCTTTACCAAATAGGCTGAGGAGGAAAACAAGTCTGTCTAGTGCTTTGCAAAGCCACAGGTGAAGCTGTTCATATCTTCTAGGGTACTTTTTCCCTATTTAAGTCATTTAAAAGTCAACAGACCAAAGATTCCTTGGTCACACTTACAGGATCTACTCTTGCTATAAATACTTTTCAATACAAATAATGCCTTCACCCAACACAGACTCTTGAGAACCCCATTCCTGCAGCTGAAGCTAAGCCAGATGACTGTTAAACTGCCAAACTGCAATCCTTCCCTTAAGTAGGATCACATAAATAACAGAATGATTGTCTCCCAATAGGAAACCCAGACTCTAGCCTGGTGTTCAGCCACAATAACTGCAAAACAACAGCCACTTTATGATGTCCTTAGTTACACGGCCAGCTGCAAGCCACAAGGATTCTTGAAAGAAACTGGCCGAAAGACGAGGCTCTCAAACTGCCCTGACAGTTCTCAGCACTGCGTAAGCAGCAGACTAAAGCTTTCTAGTTATCACTTGTATTATCTCTGGAACGATCCCTTAGGATTGTAACAGGGCCATCATCTGCCTTCCAGTTGGCAGCCTGGATAAGCTACAGCAAGGCCAGGCTCATGGCCAGGTGTTGTTCCAGACATACACAGGAGAAGTAGTTTTCCTCACAGGAGTTTGGCAGGTACTCCTCAACATTCCTGAGCTGAAAGAGGCACCTGCCATCTGTTATTGACGGCTGCCAACGTAAGTTGAGAAAGCAACTCTGGTAGATTCAACAGCCCCCTATTTATAGAAGGATGCCTCACCAGATTTACTGGATCAAGTATTGCCATACCCAAACTGCTCACACACGCCCAGGACCTGAGAACTTGCTGGAGCCATTGCTTTGCTTACCGGCACACCAAGATCCTTCAATTTGATCTTCAGTGCAGATAGTTTCTGATCCTGGTCAGCCAAAAGCACCAAAAGGTCATCCTGTTCTTTCTTTGACTCTGCAACTTCTTGCTGAAGTTTATTTTTCTCATCTTGCAAGATAGCAACCGTACTACTGGATGAATCCAGGTGCTGTTTTAGTGATTCTTTTTCCTCAGAAAGGGCTTTGACTTCACCCTAGCAACAGGGAAAATCCCACACCAAGTTACACCATAAGCATTGGAACAGCTGAACCCTTATTTCCTACAAACGCATTCCATACACTACCTGTAACAGCTCCAACCCCACCAAGTGCCCTGTGGCCTTGCTCCCACACACTTCCTTACCCAAACTCCCCTTACTGCCAACCAGGAGTAAGGCTGGTAAAAGTCTTACCATTGGCTACCTCTCTCCCAGCCAAAGCAGACTGTCCATGTCAGAGTAAAGCTATTTCCTAGACTGTTCTTATCAACTCTTTAAAGGCAGACAAGGCCTACAGTTTCCCAAGTAAAAAATGAAGGAGATGAACCCAGCTTCCCCTACATAGCACTGAAACACTGAAAGTGCTGAGGAAACAAACCACTTCCACCCAAAGCTTTTCCTACTGCAGAAGTCCTCCTAACTGAAGGCTGAGTATCAAGCAATTTGGTTTGGTGTTCACCCACTGCCAACCTTCAATTCTTTTATTTCTTGCTCAAGTCGTCCCTCCAGTTCCGAGTTACTTGCTGCTGCTGCACCGCTGTCTCCTAACACAGGATTTGCAGTTGTATTCTGTATACAAGAAATTGAGCATCAGAGCACTGACTGCCTCACATACAAAGACAGCAAGCTAACGCATTATACAATAAGTCAGTTGTAGAATTTAAAAGTGTATTTTCTTCTTATAGCATGGCAGTCGTATACATCCTGTGCTGCAAAGCATCAGGAAACAGATCTATGTTTCCTGGGGTCTCAATAAACACATATGCACGTGCACACAAAAAGTAGAGCACAAGGTGCAACCCTTATTTCATAGAGGTTGCCCTCTAAAGATACCGTTAGGTTTTTTTCTAAGCAGACTGTGTCTATTACAGGCCACCAGCCTTCACTCAGATGCTTCTTAAACGCCAAAGATTTTTTTTTTTTATTTGGCTAAATACCCAAACCTTTGTATGTGATGACTAAAAATAGCAATAGTTTAGTCTCAGCCGGCCCTACCCAAAATTATTAACTCCAAAACGTGGCAGCTGTCTTTCAGCTAAAACTGCAGCACGGCATGAATTCAAGACAATTGCTTCTCCAGTTACGCCAGGCTTAAGCCTGGCTTTCTGGGAAAGGCAGGCCGTGTGCAGGACAGCACAGAGCGGGCCTGACAGCTGGCGGCAGCAGGGAGACCTTGCGTGTGCCTCTGCCGCGTAAGCACGCACAGCCAACAAATGAGCAATGGCACCTTGTGTCAGAGCACCTGAGGCCAGGGACAGTGGAAATGTTAAAAGCCTGCCTCTCTCAGATGATCTCTACATTAAATTAAACGCTTGGTATCTTCCCCACACGAGTCTTCTTCCTTCAATGCCAAAATTAAAATTTGGTGCACAAGTCAGAACGAACCAGCCAGAAGCAAGAGTTTAAGGGAGTCCTACTACCACAGACCAGCTACCCTTTTCATTATAGCAGAGTTGTCAAGTAGGGCACACGGGAGCTACCCTCATTCTGCCTGAGCACCAAACATCACGTACTGTCATTGTTTCAGGTGTTCACGTGGCCCATGCTCCTGCAGCTTGAACTGTGAACACTGCTGTGGAAACAGCTAACATTTTTATGCAACTCCTTTAACTTCTCTAGCTCAACATTCACTTTCTAATGCTATCAGCTAGCTTTGAGGACACAATTGCATTTATTTAGCTATCCTATAAGGCTTTATTGGCTAATCTTTTTAATACACAGCTAAAAAAAGCTCTGAAGCATTTGGAGGGCTACACAGACAGATGCACCTACCATTTGCCATTCAATTGTATGTCAACTTTCAACTGTGTCTAAGAATAACAATCCGTCTAATGTACACCATATCACGCGTTTGTGTCTCACAAGAGACTATTTCCTTTGATCAGGATATAAACTTAAAATGCTGAATAGTTGGTATTCCTTTGTTTAAAATACCAAGGACCAATGGCCTCACAGAACGCTACTTTGACTGGAAGTCCCACTCCTTCTTCATGAAGGATTTGTCTAGGAAACATGTTACTTCATTTAAAACACTGTTGCAATTGCTTGCTGATGTGTATTCTTAGAACAAGCTCAGTTTAGGACAATAGCTACAGACAGTATAAGCAGGAAAGCAGTCTTAAACATTTTGTCCCCATAAAGAAAGTAAGGAACTTTTTCACTAGTACCATTACTTGTAGCTTTTGATTCTCAATCTGAAGTTTAGAGATTTCTGCAGACTGTAGTTGTATCTGACTCCTGAGCATTTCTAATTCCTTTGGGAAACAAAGATAAAACATACTTTTAAGTTAATTTGATAAAGCAAGGTAGTTATTCACATAAAATTTTTCTTAAGTTAAATGTTGCCAGACTTACTGCTTCATACTAGCCTACATGAGAGGAAAGCCACATCTCTCCCTCAATCAGAGCACCACAACCACTTCTCTAGAAGACAAAACTAGTCAGCAATACGCACTGTTTTCTGCCCTGCCCTTATGAACTCTCTTCTGTGGGATGCCCACCCAAGGCACCTTTCCAAGCCTCGGTCGTGTTTATAAAGGCATTTCACACCACTAGTGCTCCCCTTAGCATCCTTTCTGTAGCACCATTCTTGGTGCAGAAACCCATAATGACTTATCAGTCCAGGCATTATTAGTTCTCTAATCAGAGAAACTCTGCTAGGTATTGTTTGAGCAACAGCTACCCTGAATTACTGAATCTGCAGATACTTAAACACTCTGTGCTGTACATTTAATACCTGGAAGCTTTCATTCATGTCAACGTTTAAAGATATGTTCTGCAATGGATAAACAGATAGATTTTGCAAGTCTCAAGAGTCAGCTGAAGTGCCTTCTGCTGGCTCAAACCTGCTTGGCAAAACAAACCAATTCATTTTTGGATGCATAATCTTGATGCTCAACGAGTAGTACCATCATCACATAAAGGTACACCATCAAAAACATCGACATGCTCAGGAAATCTGTTCTCCTCCCTGAAGTCTGACAAAGCTCCCTTCCCATGCCAAGCTATCACTGATCACCACAGCTTTGCTGAAGTACCACAGGTTCACCTTCTGCAGTTCATTACTGAGCTCCAAGCCACCAGATCTGCTGGTCTGTGAAGACTGCTCCGTTGTTCCCATTTCCAACTGTGAAGACTTCTGTAATAACAACAGGAAAATTAGCCATAGAACTAGAGAGACTAAATGTACTCATTCTGTCAGAACACAAAGAAAACTGTGTGCTTCTATGATCAGACTTCCCAGTAGAAAAGGTGCAAGCAAGCTAAGAAATGCATGACAAAGCTCGCCGATTGAATGAAAGCAGCTGGATGGTCTCCTCTGAAGTGGATGCAAAAGCACCTTTCACCAATTCAGATGCAGAAAACATGCACAAAATGCGTCATCCTGCATTTTGACAAGCAGGCCACCATAAATGTGTCTTATGCATTACCCTAACTAAGCTCCTAGGAGACACCTACCATTTCTTCCCCACCCAAAACATGCTAAAAACCACTGATTCTACAGCACAACAGGTCAGCTGCACAAATTACTCTTGGGAACAGTGCGAAGCAGAAAAGGCTCTGCTCAAGCCATCTCCCACCGTATTTCCTATCAGCAGCACACAATCAGTTATGACTGCTTGACTGCCATCATAATGAAGACTTAGCTTAAGGCAAATTACATCTGAAAACAGGAATTGGAAGCTGCATCAAGTTCTGCTGAGATAGCGCTTACCAATTTTTCAATCACAGAATCCTTTTCCCTTAACTGCCCTTGCAGCAGTTCATGCTTGTTTTTCCATTCTTCCAGCTCCTCTTTCAATTTGCTCACTTCTTCCATCTGAATGCCATTCATCTGCAACGTTTCACTGTGGGAATTATGATGCTGAGTGTCCTTTCCTAAAAGGCAGCGTTTATAACAAAGGTCAGAAACACCAACATCATTTTGAAGTTAGCTTAAAACACACCAATTAAAGCATTTACTGCGCTTCCTCCTCCCACCCCACAGGGCAATACAAGCTTTTCTAACTCAAGAACCAAAGCAGAGTATTTAAGAATTCTCTTTCCAAAGTTGACTAAAGAGCTCTAATTCACCATTCCTTCAAGTATGTGTGGCTGCACCTGCATGCTGCTTCAGTCATTCAGTTCATCCAAAGTAAGTTCACAGACATATCATTTTACAAAGGACAGTTGCTTCCTTAGTCCTGAAGGCAGAATTTTTGAAATCATGCCATAACCAGCTTATCAGGCATCTGGACCTTGGAATAACTTGAATAGACTGTCCCAATTTAAGCATTCGGTTAGAAATCTCTCTAGTGACAGTAATAGGCCCCATCTTGCACATCTGCCATACCACAATTCTTCCCAAATCCATGATTTCATTCAGACCCAAACTTCAGCACGCACCATGGCCCACCTCTTCGTCTTCTAAGTCTGAACAGACAACGACTGCTTTGGACTAACTTAAACAACGGTGTAGGAAGCCTCTACCAGCAGCTCCCTGGGGGCCAGGAGTTCTTACTTCAGCTCTCACCCCTCACCAGGCACAGCTACAGGAAAGTAGCTAGGGTGGCAAGCAAGGGCTTTGATTTTCATCACTGACAACCAAAGCAATATCGGGATCAGGTCAGAAGCTATTGCTAATCCCAGTATGTCCATGTGTCCCTTTAAGTCAACTGTCTGGTCTGCAGCTGTCCCCATTTTCCCCCCGAGCATGCCTATGTGGTACATAGGCCCTAGCTCAAGTGCTCCAACAGATCTTGCAGCAAAGGGTACTATTATTTCAAAAGACCCAAGACTTAAGCATAAAGCAAGAACAAATGATACTTCATTCATATTTTCATGCTGTCCTCTCAGTTCTCACTGTGTTTTATTTTGTAAGCTCAAAGGCACTTAAAGCAAAACCTGGTATTTTTAGATAATAAAGCAAACCTAATGCTTAAACAAGATTGTTTGCAATGTTCCACATCAACTTGAGAAAAGTGTATTTTATCTCTATGGTAAATTTTCATATGCTGCAGAACATACAACAGCATGTCTCAAGTGACAAAAGGCTGTCTGCTGGAGCTGTTCTGTAGCTTGCCATAAATCACACAAGATCTCTGCACTAGCAAGATTATTTCTTTACTATTCTTTCTGAAGCTTACCTAGCTGTACTTTAAGTAGATTATATTGGTCCTTATGCTGCTGGATCTGTGACACTTGCTGTGTAACTGTTGCTTGGAGCTGTTCATTCTGAGATGTTAAAGTGTTAATTCGTTGTTTTAATTCTTCAAGCTCCTGGTCCTGTAAAAGGAAAAAAGAAAAAACCCAACACTTAAAGTAATAACACTTTTGAATACCATACTGTCAGAAAAGCAAATAAAGACAGGAAAACCTTAACTCCACCATTACACAGTGCTGGTTTGCAACACTGGCAATGCTACCTGTGACAGGTGAGCAGAAAAGCCTCATGCAAACCTAGATAGCTATTCCTAGGAAAAAAGCCTGGGAAAGACAGAACCAGACTGTCATACCAGACCAGGGCCTTCCAAATCTTTTGGAGACCTCCAGCATCCCCACCCCAGGGACAGCAGGAGAAAGAAAAAGGAAATACATCAAAAATGACTGTAATTTTTCTTGATCACACTGAGGCCTACACGCATTTGGTCCACTTCAAGACTCTTAAAAGAAGTCGTGGCAATTGCAGTCACCACATGTTCAGTAAAGCCCCACTGATGATTCAAAAGTGACCCTTAATTCCACAGGTATCATTATACTCTGTGTCCATTCCAGAACCCTGAACTGAAAACACCTGCTTCCGTTCCCTATTAGCTATTTCAGTTAATTAGCTTTGCTCCTCTACTTCTCAGTCTAAGCTGTGGCAACAAAACAACTGAACTACCATTGGAAAAAAGTTTGAGAGTCCAACCACAAGAGGTATATTCAGACTTCACTGACAAACTTCATTTCTTCATTCAGCCGCGTTTCATCTGTCATCTTTTCAAAGGTGAGAGCACAGAACTAAGAATTACATCTCTTTGTGAAGGGCTCCAAGTTCTCCAGTTACTCATTTGAAAAAAACTCTTAAACACAGGAAAGAGCAGATGTACCCTATGGAAAAGACTTAAACTTAATCAGTGTTCTAACACTGCCATTTCAGTTCAATCAGAACTTGGATTAAGTGTTTTTATAAGTGTTTCTGCATTGCTAGATGGCTTGTTATATGTTTTGGAACATCAGGTATCAGAGAGCACTGTGGTGCCTCTGAAAGCCACTACAAACAACTTCTGGTGGCACACGTGCAGTGTAACTCCCCTTTACCTGCTCTCGAATGACTTTTTTGTAGTGAGTCACAATGTTGTCATGCTGTTCCAATGTCTTCTTGACCTCCTCCTCCTTTTTATCTTCCTCGCTGGACTTGTAAATAGCTTTACTTATGACACCTGTCAAAAACAGTTTGTCAACTAAAGCCCAGTTCACAGATCTCTTTTTTTTGTCCTCAAAACAGTCTCACAGCCTCACCCAGTTTAACTGAGTTCATGGCATTAAAAACAAAACCTGCACTTTGAAAAAAAGCAATTGTCACAAACAGGTTTAAGAAAATAGGAAACGGCAATTTTTTTATAGCAAAGGAAGTCCCTATCATTTTCTAACAAGCCAAGAAATTCAGCATTCATAATTATTCTTAATTAATCAGTTGGAAACAATAGATACTAGATTGCATACTTGCACAAATCAAACTTCTAGGACTGCTGTATACACTCAATAATTTAGTCTCTATGCGAGCATGGGTAAATACACCTCTTGGCCACAGTGTGGCAACTCATCACATGTATTAAGAATCATTTCACCTACGAATATCAAGTTTTCCAGTTAGTAAATACTTGAAGTGCAAGCTTGGATATATGATTACTTACAGCTATTATTATAACATGTTTTTCATAATACTCCATTTTAGTATCATCACAGTACTGTTAAAGAGGGTTATGTTCAGCACATTTGGTAGTTCAATCATCAGTTCATCACAAAAACTACAGAAATGAGCATAACCTCTCACCTTCCAATTCCTTTACAAGCTTGGTAAATTCATGATCAAACATCATGTGGTCTGGGCTAGAAAAACTAGGCTGTGGTTTCTGAGCAGCTCTGGAATAAAGTTCATGTTTGCTAATGAAGCCAAGCTTCTCAATGAAGTTCTCCCGGCCAATCCTCTTCTCAATCAGCTGTTTCAGCTTCTCTCTAAAAGGAAGACACAAATCAATCACAGTGCAACAACTTGAAGAGAAAGGAACCCATCCTTCCCTCAAGGTGTTTTTTGCAGTTACAACTCTGATTATCTGTCTCAAGTCCTAACCACACTAGACACTTCACATTCAAGAAGCACTTTTTCAGTTGCCACTGACATCTGTTCTCAGCTCAGAAATACATAGGTTAGGAGGACCTATGCAAACCTTGCACCGCCTCGGTTAAAAGCCTCTCCACCATCTGCCATTCACAGAACTTTTCTCTACAGTCCTCTTATTTCTACATCATACTTACTTCCTATAATTTTCAAGGGAATTGTCATTGTAGTAGATGGAAATGCCAAGCAAGAGTGCACAAAGGCCTTGGACAAGTTGCTCCTCTTCCCCAAGGTTTTCAGCTATCTGCCCTGTGAGCTAGACCTCTTGTTAAGGATATTAAAGATATTTTATAAGCATAATACATGTAACATACTTCTCCCTGAAAATTATTTTCACACATATACCCAAGCTTGATTAGGAAGTAAGCAAAATAGCTTTGCAAGGGTTTCATCAGTTAACTCCTAGTTTGAAGGACTTGGGTAATCAGAGGTTTCCCTGACATTTCTTTTCTCAGTAACTATCTGCTTAACCAAAGAGATTTAGTTGTTCCAGAACAGACTTTCAGTTTAGATAAGGTGACAGTTTAGCTTTATGTACTCTAGTCAGATTTCTTCCTGAAAAGCAAGCCTAGAAATAAGCTTTAACAGAAGTAGGAAGCATTCTTCCTGCTTCTTGGGTATAAGCTTAAGTCACATTAAAAATATCAATGGGCTTTTTGCAATAAAAAATACTTTGCTGGCAGAATGACACAGGTTTTTGCTGTACCTCAATTTACGTGCACATCTTACAGACAGGTCAGCAGACACAGAGCACTGTCAACAAAAGGAGGCTGGTTATATCTCTTGCCCCAGTGCATTTTCTTTTATGTCATGCAGCATCCCTGACAACTGATCTAGATAAACATTTAACTTGAACATGAATAATCCCAAGTAATTTCAAGGCAAGCAGGTCTATACTGCAGGCAGGTCAAGGATACAAAAGGTATATTGGCTGGATTGTGAAGGAAGTGGGTGACAGCAATGGAGCAGTTGCTTAGCCAGGTGCAAAGCAACATCAGTAGTCCAACCCGGGTTTGTACTTTGCTGCCCTGAAAAGAATAAAACCCCCCGTCATTATCTTTCCACAGGGGAGGACTCAAATACCAAAAAAAGCTGTATGCATTCAGAACTTGCTCGTTTTCACCTCATCGTTTTAAAAATGACAAGTCACGTCTTTCAAAATACGCATTAGTTAGTTATACTGAACACAGCTTTAGCGCTTTGATGAAACGAGTATTAAACCATTCGTATTTAACTGTTTTCAGAGCAAAACAACAAACAACACAGATGTGAAATATGACTCAATGCAAATTAGCACCAATATAAAATCATAACAAATTAGTTCTGCATAATTAATACTAGGGTAACATGAAGGAACACACACAACACCCCTGTGAAGAAGAAACAAGGTGTAAATTGAGTCAGGTAAGGATGCCCGATAAGTAGAGATGCATCACTAAGACTTCCCATGCTGACTAAAAATAGCTATGTGTTCATAATATTATTTTCTAAGTAAAGAAAGATAATACTAAAGTGGTTTTTCCTTCAGACAATATGCACATTAAGCCAGTAAGAGGAATGCTGACTGCAGTATTTGTTTTTGTTAACTAGGGAAAATTAGTTTTCATCTGCAAATTGACTGCCTTCTCAATTCTGTCCCCCTCGTCTTTGCTGCAGATATCATGGGCACAGCAGCATTAAGACAGGCATACATCTCTTCCGATAGTCAACATTCAGAAAGCAACCAAGAAAAATGTTCCCTGCACAGAAAACTAAACTTCACACAAGCACCTAATGAATTGGGTAAAGTAACTGGAAACTCAAGTCAAGTCTCGAAGCCAAGATGAGGCATATAGAAGTGCTGGAATATCTTCAAAAGGGGGCAAGAAAATACACTGGAACAAGTGGTCACAGGGAATCAAGACAGTGGCAAAAGAGAGAAATATTCATCAACAGCAAAGAAAGTCTGTGCCCAAAAGTTATGTACACTTGAGACACTGAACCTCCACCCTTTCCTGTGATAAGCCCTATGCTTTAGAGCTCAAGGCAGTGTTGGTTTTAACTTTAGCTAAGCATTAAGGGAAAAATAAAGCAAGCTCCCCCAAAGTCTTTGATTAAGCCAGTTTGCCCATTGAAACAGCCCACGAGTCTAGCAACTCAAAGAAAATACCAAGCTCTGAAGAGACTACCTTCAAGGACTTCCTTCTGAGGTGCTGTGATCTGCTGCAGTGTATCACCACCACTAATATGAAATGACCTCCTTAAAGGAGAACACAGATTACAGATACCGAGACTGTGGCCACCATCCCTAATGCTGTACACACAGGAAAGGAAGCATCTGGCCTTTTTTCATCAGTATCATCACCATTACTTCCCAAGACCCAAGTGAATCATGTGGGAACAGCGGAGAACATAGCCATCACCACCAACCCCACACCACCTGCCTGTTGTGTTTCAGGGTGAGTACCACATGCCCTACTAGCAACCATTGCTTAGTCTTTACTATAGGTTTGTCCGCAGCCTTGTTGTGACCCTGTCATGCTATTGTATTAACGTATGGATTATCTTCCTTGCTGCTACCCTTCTAGCTGAATGTCACAACTGGTTTCCACTGACCTAGACCTCACTGTGAGTTGCCTAGTTCCCACCAAACTCAGTTCTCCTCTTGCCCTCTCCTTTCCTCTGCACTGGCTCAGTTAGCTTTTTTTCCCCATCCCCATTGTGTTTCCCCTACCCATCTTGCACTTGATAATTAGTTAATGACTTGCAGGCAACACAACACTTCCAATCTCTGCTCATGAGGTGACATTTATTTCAAAGACAGTCTAATGACAGTACACATTTAAGAGATACTTGCTAGCAGATAGCAGATTTATCCAAAAAGGCAAGACAGGATGCCCGAAGAGCTGTCTCACCACTTTTTTGACACTAGGTAAGGCTAAGAACTGTGTTCATACTCCAGTCTTCAGGTGAAACATGAATTAAGACACCAGGTGACAAATCATAGGTCTTACAAGCTCATACAGAAAATGATCTGCCACACCACACTGGTGTAGTGAACTACCACAGTATTGCCTTGCCAAACAGCTTAGCTGAAGAACCTGATGACCACACAGGCCCTTCTTGCTATACTGAAGCCTCTAGACAGGCTATCTGTTCCCTCACTGCCATCTCACAGGACTACAGGGTCACTTAGGGTAAAAGGGACCATTGAAATCAAATCATCTGTACACTGCTTGAGCACAAGAGAACTGCAAAAGCACCAGTTCTGCCCAAATTACTTCCAGATTAGATGCAGTAACAGTGTCATGACACTGCCAACTGTGTGACTTAACCAGCCTCAGAAACCCCTTTGGGGAAACATGACCCTAATGTAGCAGTGCTGAAGGATGGAGTGTTCTGCATCCAGTGCCCACTCTACACACTTGCAGCATGCCCCCACCTGCAAGTACCATGATGCAACCAGCAGAGAAACTGCCCTTCTTCCCCCTCTCCTTGCTCCTCACAGCTCAAACTGCTTCAAAACCGCCGGGAACGCCTCTTCCCCAGTCCTTCCACTCTAGAGGGAGAGCTGTGCCCCTTCTCGTGCTCACCTGTAAAGGCTCTAGCAAACCCGAGAACAGGCCACTTGGTTTGACCAACTCCACCAAGTTCCTATTTCTACAAATGCCAGACTTCACCACACACTTAACAAGTTTAATTGCTGACAGTCTGCATTTAATCCTCCCAGTAACGACCCATGGAACACTGCTTTCACCCTTCTGGGAATGACAAAAGTTAACTTGGAGCAACCAGAATCAGGCCAAGAAAGTTAAAAGTTCAGACTGAGTAATTGCTGACAAAGTGGCTAAAACACCCATTATCTGCACAAAGACGTTAGTCACGTCAACTTACTATTTGTCAAAAGACTGAATAAATTCTCCCCTAGCTGGATAAAAAAATGCTTGCTTCCAGCAGAACAAACAAGCAACACTAGAAACCTTTTTCCCCTCACCTGCATTTACAAATACAGGCTCTCAGTATCCCAACACTACTAGCCAGTTCATACACGCTGGGAATAGCCACAGTAACTGGCAATCTTGCCCTACAGCACGCTGGCACACCTCATGCTTCTTCAGAGAACACTGGTAGAAGGTGTTGCTTATCTTGTCAGAAACACAAAATTCCTTTTGCTTGCACGACCCAGCATTTGCAACACACGTCATCTTCTGGAAGCAGTCACAAACCACGTTTATTCTCAAGAGCTGCATGCTATTCCGAGGTCAAATTAACACACAGTCCAAAACACCCTCTCTTAAAAAACAAAAAACAAAACAAACAAACAAAAAAAACCAAAACCAACACACAGCTATTTTCTAGATGTACCATAACACCTACTAGGATAGATGACAGCTCTGCATGGCTGCTGTTCTACAATTCAGAGCTGGGAACAATACAACCCCACCTCTCAGGACAACTGTGATAGATGTAGTAAATAAAGCAGACAATATTTCAAAATTGTTTTTTCTGCCACTGATAACCAACTTAGAAGTGCTTTACATAACAGCCTGAAAGTCGAACAACTTGCTTCAGGGGTCATTTATAGTAATGCGATCCCCACTAGTCACAACCAGTAGCTGCAAGGTTAAAACTCCTGCTGTTAAGTAGAATGTAGAAAGTGGCCAGAAGGCAGGTTAAGCAGTTTGTCTTTTAGCAGTCAGGAGCACATTCCCACTTCAGATTGTACCAGCTGTTTGCTACAGGCCAGCCTAAGAAAACAGCATTTCTAACAGTTTTAGTTTTTCTTACAAGAAAGTGCATCTGTTAGGTGAACAGACTGTGAATGAGTCCACCCCACTGGAAAGAAAGCACCCGTGCTACCCAAGATCTTTATCCCATAGTTTTGTGGAGGACCCCCAGAGAATCCCCTGGAGACACAGAAAGAGCTTGTTATGCTAGGAAAAAACCCAAACCCAACTGCCACACAAAGCTGTAAGTGGAAACACGTCGAAAAGCAGTTAAAGAAAACTTCCCCAGCAAAACCCAAGACAATAGGAAAAGGCTTGCTTTTGGCAAGAAAATGCCAAAGCTGTGCCAAAAAATACATACCCGTCTGTCGATCTTATCACCCTGCAAGTTACACACATATTACTTGAGAACCTTGAATGGAACACATTTCAGAAACATCCCCCCCAGCGTTTGAGTCACTTGTATCATTTAAGGCTAAAGAGCCACAGGCAGGTTTACAGACTCAAATTTATCTTATACAAAAATGCCAGGCAAAGGATAAAAAGGAGTAACGTCTATTTTTGGGTAAAGCGGATTTAACAAGTCACATGAACTAATTGAAAATTCCAGCATTCTGCCATTATTCTCAGTTGCAGGAAAGTCTAATTGCTGCCAGAGCTAACTAGCTCCCTCTTATTACAACCATTCAGGGAAAAAGTAGGCGTAACAGAAGAAGATGTCCTAAGGAAGTGCAGGCTAGGAGGCGAAGTTCACTCATCATTTGCAAAGTCACGTGTTAACATGTTGAACACGTTCAAAAAAGCTTTTAGCTTTGAATAGCAAAACCAACAACAGTCAATGCATGAGAGCCCAGTATTACCAAGATGCTTCATGTTAGCAGTTACAGGTTAAATACTACCAGGCACCACTTCAGCAACAAAATGTGACTGGGGATCCTGCCAGTTTGCCTTGTCTCTTAAACCAAGTTGAAGGCCTAGATGCTTTAGGACCCTCTGCCTACTGCCAGTAGACAATATCAAGCAGCAACTGCTGATGAAAAAGCAAAATTTGCTGCTTTATTCCTCCTGCTGAAGCACAGAGTGCTTTAAGTAAAGCTTAAAAACGGTCCATAAAAGAGGGAGAGTGCTCCTTCTCATTAAGCTAGGACTCATGTCTTCCTGCGAAGCGCCTGCACTAGAGCAGTGTTGTTCCTGGATACCCAGAGTTTCACCCCAAAGCGGGGGGCAGTCGGCGCTGTACCTGCGAGAGGATGTTGGTGCACTGCTGCAGCAGCGACACTGGTGGATTGCCGATGCTCGTTGCCAGCTGAACTCTCAGGAGCTGTTCTTTCAGAGTGGCGTTTTCCTGTAAGGCGTGGGCCAGGGCCACAGCAGCACACCAGTTGGAGAGAGAGTCCGTGGAAAAGAGGCCCCCACAGAGCAGCTGACCAGCTGACACAGAGTTACCTGTAGCTACCAGAATGGCCAAGAGGTACAAGGGAGATTAAAACAACCCACGAAACCAGCAAAGTATTTAAGACATCAACATACAGTTAAAACCCAGAAAAATGAAACTAATGAAGTCCTACAGAAGTCATAAGCCAAATTATCTTGCTTGGATCAGACATTTAATGGCACATCAGTAATTTTTGAAAAGACATTAGTTGATGCATTAAACATTTGCGCTAGTTTCCAGCACACTGCAGAGACGTTAGCTTTGCGTACCGTCAATAGTAGATGGCAGAAGCGTTGAAACAATTTCTCCTTGTCCTTTTTGGTTTTTGTATAAAAAGCACTGGAAACAATAGAGAACAGCGCAACGCAGCACAAAAGGCTGCCTCTCATTTACCATGGACATCAGAAGTACAACAATTGCAGGCCTGTTTGGAAAGGAAAGACAAAAACTGTTATGACAAAGCTGTGAATGAAGACCATCACAGATACACAATTTGGAGTAGGTATTCTACTAGCATAGTAGAATTCTATCTAGTAGGATTCTACTAGTAGTATTCTCCAGGTAAGCAAAGAGACTTTTGCCTACTCCATCTATTACCATTTCAAACATTTCTGTAAAACCTTTGATTTCAATATCAAAGTTTTTCAGTTAGTTAAAACAGAAACCAGTAGATTCATTATCCATGAGCTAGGGCTCCTCCACAATATTTTCATTTCCCATCGAGACCCCCGCTGATCCCTGCGAGCTTCAGCAATATTGTAGAAGATGCCTCATGAAGCCACTAGCAACTTCTAGTACAGAATGCTCTTTTTCTACCTTCACCCTCACACTGAAATGTTGAGATTAAGATCTCATTAAGCCAACACTTGCTGTTCCCCAGTCTGAGTAAATATCCATTACCTGACTATTTTCCTAGCCTCTAATCCTTTTGTACACTGTGCTCTGGCTGGCACTGGCAGCTCCTCCCGATCTAGGAATTTCTCAACTACTGTTTATTCACTTTTCAGGTACCACATAACAAATAAAATCAGTTCTAGGCCTCATCTCTGTGGAAACACACCTGACACCCTCATGCTAGATCTAATACACCCAACATGAACTTGAAGCTGTTGATCTGTATCATAATTCCAACCTCTGAATTTAAACAATCCTTTGGATTAGGCTGCCAATGCCCATAACCATACATCATGACCTAACACAGTTAAACGCTTTTCTTCCTCTACCTTGGTGGATTAGAAGGTGCATTTACAGAGGCAAAGTAGTCTTGATTCATCTGGCATCCTCGAATGACCTCTGAGACAGTATTAATAGTCTACAGAAAAAGAAGAGAAAAAAATTAAATGGACAGCTAGTTAAATGTGAGCTATAATCTACTACCTAGGTCACTCAAAATTATTCAAGATCACCCTGACAGCTTGGTATCAAAAATACATACCAAGTCTCAGCAGAGATACTTACTCAGTAAAAGCATCTCAAATTAAATCCAAACAACTGTGAAGCACATTGAGCAAAGGTCAAGCGACAGAAAGCTTAGACAGCTCAGTTGTACCCAGTTACCTCCAATTTAATTTTCTTTATCAGACCAGTTTTCCACGACAGCCAGTTAAACTGGACATTTTAAAGAAGCTGAAAGGTAAAACCTTTTAAGTGATAAAAACATTGGAATGGAGGCCGCGCCAAATGAACCAGTCTGCGCTCAATCTGAGCATATCATTTTAGCAAAGGAATAAACACCTCATCCTACACTGCTGACAGGGCTCTCTAGAAGCTAGAAATCCCTGATTGTTGGAAATCTGCCAAGTCAGAATACTTCTAGACTCTCTCAAAAGAGAATAACAACAAAATGCACCCATAAAACAAGGAAAAACATGAATCAATTAAGCCACCCTGGGGTATGCTGAAATCCAACGGAAAAGCAAATCCAAATACTTTCTGGTCACAGAATATAATGTAAAAGTCTACCTTACATTTATGTTGCCCACATAGGAAGCTGACATCTCTTGCATCTGAGATATTTCCTTAGCAAATACTGTAATTTCAGTCTGTCTCTGCAGCAACCAGTTATTCCTGTAGACTCCTACTTTTACCCATTCAGTTGCCCCCATCCCTACACCTACTTGCTCCCCCTTACTTCTGTCAGGATATCAGCAGGAACTCCAGTTGCCATCAGGATTGTGCAGAGCTGCTGTAACAACCCACAGTGAAACATCGCCTTCTGACAACTGCTGGTAGCACCAGGAGGATTTGTGGGAGACACAAGTACCCGCACAAGCTAGAAAAAAAAAGAAATGCTTCTATGAAGAGAACCCAAGACCTTCTGAAATGCAAATAAAAAATTTACCCGTTTGAAGTTTAGCCATGGAATAGAATTGCTCCTTAAAACGGAGATAGGAGACAACAATTCAACAGCATGTTGCTCTCGTTACTACATAAAACTCCTAAAATATCTGACACTCCATTGCAAAACTGCAACTAAGCGGTGAGAAATCAAGCTGTACCTATTCTATTATTTGGATCATCATTTGTCAGAACTGCGTATCGGGAAGTGAGAAACTACCTTCATCATTCATGTTCAGCTTTCACAAAAAGTGGCACAGAACAGGAAAACTTTTATTTTTTTGGAGGGGTGAGCAGAAGGAGAGATGCCCAACACCCAATAGTGATGAATCCATCATGAAGGCACTTACTGGAAATCAGTTAATGCACCACAGCCATACATGAATTCATACCGGAGGATCCTCTATGTAGAACACCCCGATTACATATTTCACTTAAATCGCTGTTACATCTTCAGTTACGTGAAATGAAGTTACATGATATGCCAGCCATTACAAATTCACAATTTGGCAGTAGTGTTTGTGCTGAAAGCAGTACAACTCATGAATGCTGGTAGCTAATTCTGAGCTAAAGACAACACATGGATTTTGCAGTTAACTGTTACATTACAGTTATTCTCCATTGCAAGAGAGCTGAAAAAGCATTGCCATTGGTACGGAGGAGTTAGAGGAAGGGGTTTACCTGCAGCATTAGGTGAAGGTTAGTTACTTTCTGTGCAGACCACCCGCAGTTGTCATCTCCAACTTCAAACCAAGGCTTCATACGCTGTATGTATGAACCCTCTTTGAAGAAATTCTGATTTGAATTATTATTCTTCAACAGGTTTTGTAATAGGAGGAGGCAGTCTTCCACTACTATTCCTGGTGAGACAAAAACAAAAGGTTAATCAAAAGATGAGACATAGAAAACAAACTAGCTCCTCCATGCACTAAGTCTGTTCCAGATGGAACAGAGCACACACTTCTGAACTCTTCATTCTTAACAAACATTAGATTTGGATCAAGAACTGTGAACCTCATGCTTGAAAAAATAGCCAAAGGTCAAATTAAATACATCGGATGTTGATCCATTGTATTTCCAAAGAAACCACAGTTGTATTTCTTCCACAAGTCTGAAGGAAAAATGTTATTTCCAAAGCAAATACAGTTTCTATGAACTAACTGGGTAGGAACAGGAAGAACTTCAAAGAAAGCCTCACAACCACTTTGTGTCTTGAAGCATATCTATTTCAGTCAGGCTACACTACTGTCTCCTTGTACTGTAAGCACTAATACGAAGAAGTCCCTCTTGAACTACATCACGATTCAAATACAGCAATTCTTACTGGATAATACATTCATTCTCTTTAATTACTGGCTACACCTTCCACGCAGTTCAAAGCTTTTGTTTGCAGTATTTTGGGGGAGAAGCAATTCCTAGAAATAGCCCTTACAGTGAACCAATTCAAACTCAACTCCTTGGAGTTACAACAGCTTTATCTTTACCCTCCGGTTTTAGCTGTACTGAAAAAAGCACTGTAGATGCTAATCAACTATGTAGCCTGTGAACAGAAAATCCTCCGACAACTCTGTCCAGAAGATAACACAAACAAAGGCAGCCTGCTTCTGGTACTGCTGGGAGGCCTCCACATCCAGACTTGACACGATGAAGACTTACTCCTTGCACTTCTGAGAACACACGGGCAGCGCCAGACATGGGAGCAGGAAAACAGAGACCAGCCATCACCTTCCCCTTCCCTGTCCTGCTGCAGAGCCACAGCTGGCAATCCAGCCCTGGGCAGGGCTGCGGGCAGGAGGAACGGACACATCAGAGGGGGCAAGCACTTAGGAATTTACATACCGAGTCTTCTAAAACTATTAGCAGCCTAAAAATAGCAACTTTGAATCAAAGGTTTGCTTAATCCTTCCATGCCAACATACCTGGAATAATTCAGCTGGGAGAGAAGCATTAGCTGCTCCTGCAGCCCACAGAAAGGTCATGGAGCAGCAACCTGTCTTGTTAGTGAAATGGATCTTGTAGCCAACTATGATTGGTGGTAAACTCATAGTGTGTTACTAATAAAAGAGCACCTCCATGCTGCATCATTTTTGCTCACTTTTTTTATCCTTTCCTCCCCAAACAGGTAAATGATTTAACAAGGAGCCGACCAGAAAACTGAAGTTATTAGTGCAGCTGAAGAAACTCTGCAACCTGTTACTCCTCCCAGGCACTCCAAGAATCAAAGGATCTTGTAGGAGGAATGCAGATGCTTAACTCTGTAAGTGACAAATGCAGCATACACATATCTGACACTGCCATTCAAAGTATAGACATGAATGTCTATTCACAGACTAGAATGTGATACACATTCTATATCTAAACACAAAGTGTCATACACAGACATTCAGAGTGTGTTCCTGTTCAGCTTTGGTCTAACTCATGCACACAAACTCAGAGAAATTAACTGATGTTTTAACTGAGTATCTCAAACCTAGTTTTCAAAAGATGCTGAAACCCTGCCTACTTGTTTGATCTGGTTTTGCTTGTTTTGTTATAACCAGTGTGTATGTTTTGATCCTTCTATGCACTGGCCTAGCTCCAGTTACATACTAACATCAGCTTGTAAACACTGTTACCCAATAGTTTCTACAGAAGCACAAGACTATGAATAAGTCTTAGACTTTTCTATACCTCCATCGCTGTTTCCTTCTTCTGTTATGATATCCAGAAGTCTCTCAAAAGCATTTTCAAAGGCAACAATCTTCTGTATAGCTGCATTACTTTTTGTCAATTGCTGTAACAACAAGACTCCCTTGACAGGTAAGGGAGAAAAGAAATTAAACTTACTTTTACAAGCACTACATTGCTTTTCACAAGTCACAGCTCTTAGGAGGAACTAAATCAGCAGCATAATCCCTGGTCAAAATCACAGGACAGAACTGCATGCCCTGCAGCTCGGCACATCTAACAAAACCCACCATGGACACCAGGCAATAGCTCCCTCATGCCTCGCTGCACTTGAAAACAGCAGCACAGTACTGTTTAAAAGGATGTGAAGTGGCTATTCAGAAGAAACAGGGAACCTGTAAAGCCCCTCATCTCTTCTGTTGTAAGTAATTAGAGCATTTTGGCATCTGATGACTAACGAAGAAGAATTGAAGTGAACCTGATAGAAGGCCAAGAGAAAGGTCAGCTAACATACTAGGAAAACCTACACAAGGGTCAGCGTTTGCATTAAGTAACAACAGCAAACTGTTACTGTGTATGTGAATTGTGGCAAGACATCGGAAAGCCACCCAGCTCAACTGAAGAACAAAGTATTCCCAATTAGCAATCGCAATGATTTCTTCATGTGCATTCGTTTAAATTAATCCAAATTCTGCACAAGTGCTGAGCAATTCAATTAACAGTTACTATTTAAGGATGAACTTAAAGATGAACTGCCTTTGTTCTGTACTTACATCATTTCGTATAACCTCCCTAGAGTCTGCTAGTAAATCCATGAGTCTCGAAACACCTGTGGGAAACATTTAAAAAAAGAGCATAAAAAAGGTGCAGTTTTTTCATGCTGGAGGTCTTTAAAACACCTTGATCAACACTCCTCTAGCCGTCTGCCATGAAGTTTGCTGAGCTTCCAAGTTCAAGTTTATCAGCAATAAGCTCAACCACTTACCCATAGGGCTGACAAGAATTATCTGCTGCACTTGAGGTCCTTGCTGCTTTAAGAGAGATGTAAGTAGTTTCACTCCAGGCCAACGAACATGGAAATCAAACTCCTGCAAAGAGGGAGAGAACAGCAAGCCCATTTGTATTTTCTTCCTATTCCTAAACAGTAACAGCAGCTTTTCTGTTAAAAGTGGGTCTTGTCAGCATGAGAAAGCTCAAGAACAAGTCCACGGACAGACTTGACCAACCACAACAAACCTCTGGGCTCCCCATCTGCGCTCAGATTCATTCAAAAGCTGATGACTGTACCCACATCTCAACTGAGTCACCTCACAGAGCTTTTTGTAGTTCTAACCCTGATGGCTTTAAACCATCACCTTCAAGTAAGCCAGCAGATCACTAATTTGGACAAGCAGTCTTATTTTAAGCCTGTTCCTAGTTACAAGTGAAAACTGAGTGCATGTCATCCTTTCCTCAGCACCCTACCTACCTCAGGTACTGGCCAAGACAAACATCTCCACTCTACATGTTCCAAGACAAAGGTGGTAGCTCATCAATTTTCTAAGCATCTTGCCAAACAGGCTAGATGGTTTGTAAAGATTTTCTAAAAATTACTCTTGTACAGGAGAAACCCTGAATGGCACGATATTTCTAACAAAGAGGATGCTAAACTAAGGCATTGGCAGAGAAAAAGAACTAATAACTTACAAAATGCATTGCAAGCTTCCAGCTCTGCATAATGCTATATACATTTTTATTAAGTGACACTACTTGTGTGTGCAACTGCACACCAAGGTAGTGTCAACAGCCACGCAGCTCCACGTACAGGTTTCAACCATGTTTAGGACAGACGCTCACTGTTTTGAATTTATAGATCTCAGATTCGGATCAATAATTTGGATCAACAGCACCCTGCTGCCAAGTAGGCCCTGGTCTTAACATGTAACAGATACATCAGTCAAGAACATCCCAGATTTTCTTAAAATGTTTGACATTTATTCATCTTAAGAGTACGTTTATAAGCCAACCTTTCACACTCACTAAATAGTTTTATAGGACTGTCAGCCACAAACTGAAGTTTCAGAAAGATAATCTTACTAACTCACTAATTGTAGCCTACAAAACTGTGCTCATGATTTGCATTTCCATCTACTGAGGCCAAAATTCAGCATTCAAGGATTAAACCTCAGATATACTGACAAATGTTTAATAGTGCTGAAAGCATGACATAAATTCCATATGGGAAGAGAAGAACATCATCTTTTTACTGAAGACGGACTACAAAGAAAAAAAGAAAGAAAAAAAATGTTCATGTTGCTCTTTTTCCTCTCTCAAGTACAATTATATTCTCAGTTTGGTAACAAGATTTTAACAGTTGAGAATAAAGAGGCAGTCCTTGAGGATAAAACCATTGGAAAATGAGTTAAACACATTGTGCTCATGGGAAGCAGTCACCCTTTCTATTTGAACTGCATCTCAACAGATATTACTATCTCATCATCACTGAATGATCATCTGAAAAATTATCCTCATACAAGTGACAACAGTTGCTGTTTGTGCGGCAATAATTTTTACTGTTTCGAATCAAATCTCTAAACCCCTTTCCATGTTTCCCTGCTTTAAAAGCTGCACTAATGGCATTCATCATGGTCATAGTCTGAACCTGCCTCCTACCCCACATTCACTATGCCTCAGAACATCTCACATTTAACAAAGGCTTCACTAAAGAGACAACAGCAACATAGCTTTATCCATTAAGATAACCCTCTGTACAGCACTACATATCCCTCAGTATTCCAAGTACGATACTGTTACTCACCTCCACAAGAGTCAACAAGAGTGTGACATTTTCTTGCTGTTTAATGAAAATCTCTGTGAACTGACTTCCCAAATCATCAACTTGTTTTGGTAAATTTTCTTCTGTAATAGGGGAAAAAAAAAAAAATGTATTACAACACATGATTGGAAGAACTTCAGATAGTTTTTATTCTTACTAAAATAGGGCCATGGGTGACAAAAAGGTTTAGAATCACTGTTATAACGTTAATGGAATTATTTTCAAAACAAACACTGACACAAGCTTTGTTCAAAGTAAAAAATCTATGTTATTCTAAACATAACATTTATTGAGAGACTTGTTTTTAAAAAAAAAGGAGGGAACAAAGAATCTATTAAACTTATTCATTTCAGCATTAAGAGAAAAAAAAAATCCTATTTCCACTGATACTATCCTATCAGCTTCACACTTCTCATCCCCAAAGCTGCCTGTTACTGATATAACCAAGCACACTCTTAAGTCAGCAGAGAACTTAAAAAAATAGGGATCTCCCCCTGCAGAGGAGAAGCAGAAAGCCCCTAAGCGGCTGCGTTCGCATGCAGCTGAACTGATCCAGTAGGGAAGTTCCTCGTAAGGACTATTCACTAATGTGCAAAAGCAAAGTACAGTTCATACCAAGAGGCTTGAAGCAAGTGCTGGGGAATATAAACCATCTAACACTAAATGGCTCAAACACCTTATTCGTCTATTTTGGTTTAGCAAGAAAAAAGACTTAAACATCAGGAGTAATTTTGACACAGATGAGAATCAAAATCTCTTGTCTTGGAATCTGAACTAATTTCACAAGGGAAATAAAGTGCTATTGTTTTATTTACTCTTCTGTTGTGTAGAACTGGGGTAACACATGAATTTCACTGTACACAATTATTTCATGCATCACTTGCACAAACAAAAAAACAATGCAAAAGCATCCCACAAAGCAACAGAAAACATGCAAATGACATCTCTGCACCACTGCTGTTTTCTAGGCCAAGCGACAATTTACAAAGCTATTTCACAAAACAATAGTAGTATATAGGTACTACTGGTTGGCATAGTGAAGGAACTTCAGTTGCAAAGTTGATTTAGAATTGCTCTTTGTCAAAGGGAGTTTTTTGTTCTACTTTCATTTTGGACAGGAAGAGAAGACATTTCATGCCAGTCCAGTTTCTGAGACCTCAGCTTTTTTGCTGCTCAGCAGCAGTTCAAATCCAGTCCCACACAACAAGGGCAGGAATTCAGCTGTACATGGCACCAGTGGCCACCCAACTCCAGCCAAGCCCCCTTCTCCCTGCAAAGCTCCCTGTCCCTGCACATCCCCTAAACAACTTGCTGCTTTAGTGCCTTCTCAGTCCATAACCGCCAGGCCCCTCCTGTCCCTCAGCACATGCTGCCACCTGCCCGGGCTCTATCCTGTGTTTTAGGCAGTTCCGACAGCCCAAGGCCTCACTGAAGAGCCACAGCAAGGGCACTGGCTGCTCATCTTCAAAATCAAGTCCTCTACAAATCCTGCAGACGCACATCCAACACTGCGACGCTGAACCCTGCTAGCTGATGAAACCACAGGAACAGCTTGAAGCATAAACCACAGGAAATATGTGGTAAAACCATTGAATTTCTGACCAAATCCAAAGGTCTGATTTGGTAAAGTGAAGGCCAAACAGCGATTTTTCCTCCTGCTTAAACTGCAGGACTTACAGCCTTGTCAAGGGGTCACTAAAAAACCATTAACAACTGAGCAGCTATAAAAAGGTTCAAAGACCACAGATAATCTTCAAACTCTGTACCTTATTAGGGGTATGGTAAAACAGAGAAATCGAAGGACTCTACCATAACAATTTAGTGCCAAGAAAATAATTTAAATTCAGCCAACCCAAACTGTTGGCAACGGTGATTCAGTTTATAAGTTCTAATTTTTAAGGCTTTCCAATACAGGAAAGAGGTTTTTGTTTGGCCTTCCAGACACGAAAGTAGCTGATCATTTCTCTAATGTAGTGTAGCTACATTTCTCCCTCAAAGCAGATTTATTGGTAGGTAGTTTACAAGAGGGAGAGAGAAATAGCAGCAGCCTGCCGTAAATTTTTAGCTGCAGAAACTATTAAATACTAACAGAAGATGACAGACAGGAGGACAGACTGTGTGGAAGAGTAACTCTAGCCCAGGCACATAGCATCTAGCAGAATACAAGTCCCACAGTGAGCTCCCTGAAGCTGAAGGGCTTATCAAGTTTGGGTCAGTCCTGGTTTACATGAATAAACAACAACAAAACAGAAAAAAAAAAAAAAAAACAAAACAGGTAAACCAACTCCACAGAAGTTCAGTTGCTGCACTTGCTACTGTAGAATAAGAAGCAACTCAGCTGAGAATCATACATGGGGTACACACAGTAGCCTGCTGCAAACCAAGGAAAGCCCAGAGACCTAAACTTTTTTTTTTTTTAAACAGATGCTCAAGTCAAAATATTTCACTTTGAATCTTCCGTGAGCTGTGACTGAGCATCTTGTCCCTTTCCAGACTCAGCTACAAATAGCAAGTGTTCGAACTATGGATTCCTCCCAATCCTAACTCTTGTCCTTGCACAAGTTTGTTAAAGCAAAACCTGAGCAGTATACACAACTTACACGGCCTCCTACAAGTTGGCTGTAGTTTTTATTTACTCCAAAAGCTTGATGCTAGGTCAGGGTGCTTAGGATTCTTCTGTAGAAGTGCCAAATGAAAACTGTCTTTTTTTTTTTTTTTCCTCTCAACTCTTGCTTTTGCCTACCAGTATTTCTACTACTAAATTAAAAAAAAAAAGAGAAAGGAGCAAGACAGAAAGAAACAGGCAAAGTGAAACTGCATCTTCTACTTATGTGGATACACTACAGATCTTGCAACTAGATTTCTATCCTTAATCACTCTTTAAATCTACACATTCACAGGGGTCAAATGAAGAGAATTATTTCTATCTATTAAGATTAGCTCTTAGTGATTCACTACCAAGCAGCACTGCAAACTAGAATTTAATCTTAAACAAAGTGCATTTTGATAAAACCAATTTAAAAAAAGAGAACATACAAAGTGTTAGTGGTAACTTACAGTAGAAGTGAACACTGTATTTTAACATGCATTGCTTAAAAGAGACACTGTGAAGGATGCTTACGTGCAGCGCATGCATTTGTGTCAAACTTCAGGGCTTCTTAAAAATAGAAACTCTGTTCACAAACTTTTGCCCGTTAAAACCCTACCAGTTCTGAAGCTGCACACTTTCATAACATGGTAAACAACAATTTATCATTATTACAATCTCTAGAGATCTGTTGGCATTCACCATGCCCGAATCAAACAAGAAACAAAACTGGGAAGACACTTCGGCTCTAAAGAAAATGTATAGAGCAGAATGCAAAAAGTTTTCACTAAGTTGCAAGGCAAGTCTTTACAGTGTCCTTTTTAAACAGCAGTGAGTGTTACAGGTATGAGTAACAACTAGGCCTAAAACAAAGTGCCATATTTATATAAGTAAAGGTTCTTTTACCTTCAGAATCATCTGTCAATGCAGACAAAAGAAAAAGAAACAAGAGAAAGGTTTACAAGTTGAATCGCTTTCCAAACAGCACAACCAATAGCAGCGTAAGCTCAGATTTTCAGATCAGCCACCCTAGCTTTCTACGGCAGCAATTACTCCTTCAGGTAGTTCTTATGAAAATGGCTGAACTAAACAACCCCGTACTCTTACAACACTGGTGACCTCACATAACTCAAGTGTGTCAATTCTTCGCTCTTTGTAAGAGACTGCTAATAACAATCTTGTCAAGTCCATAATCAAGGCCACCACCATGAACATGGATTCACCAGTGCTGTAAAACTCTCATCTTGTTCAAAAGCTCTTTCATCAAAATCAGGCAATTGGATGAACAAGGAAAAGAAGGGCAAGTAAGCAAAGCAACAATCTGAGAGATGGTTAACAATAACATATCACAGAAGGATTTCAGCTTGCAAGTCTCTTGCAGGTACATAAGACGAGACAGTTCATTGTAGAAGGCACTGTGAAAGGACATAGTGTACAATGTGATGCCAATGTGCTGGCATAGATTTATTCATATTGGAGAACCCTCACCTACTTTCATAAGGTTATTTATCACTTAAGGAACCTTTGAAGACATATCTTGGGGTAGATACTGCAGACAAGAGACTTCAACTCAAATGTCAGCATCACCTCATATTTTGCCCATTCACGGGAGCATTGGCACTCCACTACATGTAATGGAAACTGAAAAATGAGATACAAGCATTGTCAAGGACTAGAAAGGCTCCTAGGGTGCATGGCAAATGGAGGATGTTATGAACCCACAGATTTTCAGCCATCTTAAATGTAGCCTTTTGCTCACACAGTATTCATGCTTGTCAAAGACCTTTTTTTTTTTTTGACAAGCTGGTATGATGGATTTACAGGTTCATTCATCAAAAAGCAGAATGGATGTCCTACAAGCCTTTTTATTTGTTGTTGATGTTTTCCTCTTAAAGTCTTGGAAAGCAAGTCTACAACCATTTGGCTTCAATTACTAGTCTAAACAGCGATCAAGCCACGGCATGATTTGCAAATACAAGCAGAAGTGTTTTTCCAAATAACACCTGCAACAATGCACAAGTGAAATGTCAGACAGGTCAACTGAATCCCGCAGTTGGCTTTATTATACACCCTGCCTCAATTTAACAGCTAGTAATCTTTCTGGAAGAGTCACCTACCTGGCAGCTGCCTGTGTGACTGTAAGTAGTACCTGGTCTCCATTCTCCCCTGTTATGGTGATAAAAGCGAGTGCACACAGGCTCAGCACCGGACAGAGCGCGTGCTCTGACTGAGGCCTCCTCCCAAGCTAGCATTTGCACAGCCCTTAGTCAGATCCCAGCCCCATTCTCTAGACAAGTCCTTGATGCTCAAAACAAGAGAACTCTGACTGTCCTGCCCTCCATACCCTTCAAGAGTCTGGAATGGTTGTAATCTACAGCTGTTCTCCTTGTCAGAACCATCTGGCTCTTCTTCAGCCTGGGCACTTGCAGCTCCTATTCATTTGTTTAAAGAACATTCTTTCCCAAGCCTACTTTGGGTTACTGCTGTCATTTTCAACAGCGTACTGATGTTTCTGTGAATTACGGGATTATTTTGAAGAGCTGCAACCACTTCATTGGCCTTTGAGACCAGTTTTGATGGCTGATCAAAAAAGCCTTCAAAAATAAAATAAAGGCAGGAAGGGCAGGGAGTTTCACAGTCCATCTGGACAGTGTCTACTTCTACATCTAACTACCTAGGGAAGGACATCGTCTCTTTCTAAAATGACATAATAGGGCTGGAAAATAAGGTTTTCACACTTACATATAGCCACCTTATCATAGATACCTCTGATTTTCTCTCAATATTCTTGTTAAATCACCAGATCTCAGGGTCCCATTTGACATTAACAGCCAGAACTCTCCCAATAGCAAAGAATGACTTGATTCTTTATTTACAAACTAGAAAAAACAATGAATTATCCCATTTCAACCTGGCTGCTGTTCGCAGAACATAGTTTTTAAAATTAGTAAGCAAGAGATCCAGTATTACTTTAATGCAAGCTGCATACAACAAGATTTTTAGCATTGTCATAACAGCTACACAGTAACAAAGCAAGTCTCAGCATTAGTAAATCAGAGTATTACAATTGATAATTTGAACAAAACCACCAAGGAAAGCACCCCCACAATTAATATAACTATTACTACCAAGCGCTTACCTTGCTCCTCCTCTTCTAGGTCATTCGATATTACATTGTAGAGAGTGTCCAAGGCATAGCCAATTATTTCAGAATCTGAACTGCAAATGAAAGAACCACTTTTCTTTAATTACTTATTTCCAGCTACTCTTACAACATTGTTTTTCTGCACAGGTAGTTCCCTTTGCATCATTAGATCAAGTGAGAAGGACTGATGTTGACAGCCATTTGGTAATACCATGTAACCACAGAGTTGCCCAGTCCCTCAATGCAGTCAAACTCCTTTTCCCAGTTCCATTCCCTCAGGTGGCCACATCCAGAAAGTCTGGTGCCAGAAGATGACCACAGGAAGTTTCACTGTAAGTGTGCCTTCCATTTCCTGATTCACTCCTTCCAACCTTCTCCTCAAGTATACCAGGAGAAATCTCTGGGAGGGATTCGGACCCCTTCCCAGAAAGTCACCCCAGGAAGCTGCAGACAAGCTTCAGCACCATCTCAGGGAAGAGCCTCCCTGCTACCCCGACAGCGAGAACCAGGGGCCAAAAGCTTCTGCTCCACATGAAAGCCACAGCAACGGCTGCAGATTCTCCCAAACAAGCCACCCTCGGCGTCAGCAACCCAGGCTACACCCAGTTATTAAGGGTTTTTGAACTCCAAGCATCCCCAGGAAGCTGCTGAGCAGCCTGTTTAACCCCATAGCATGAGTTCACCCACTTACCCCAAAACTCTTCTCGTAATAAACCCTGCTTTAAGAGAGACCTGCCTTTTTTGCACTACAAAGCCTAAACAAACTGTAAACCCTACGCTACAGTAAAGACCGAGCACAAGAGTTCTGTGGGGGAATGTAACCATTTTTGCTGCTTGCTTTGTTGTTCATAAACCAGAAAAGTATGTAATCACAGCTGGTCAAGAAACAAAGGAAAAGAAAACCTAACATCACAAAGGAAGGCACCTCAGAGTGCAGGAGGACACACCTCACAGCTATTTTCATGTCTTGCCCAAGCATCAGAAGAACACGCTGTCAAAACAAGACCTCTCATTCCAACTTTTCAGTATTTGCTTTCACTGATGTCCAAGGCATACACATTAAGGCCTCTAGACAAAAATAAATTTGCATTTCAAGAAGCTATTAGGCCAGTTCAGAACAGAGGCCTAAGAAACAACCTAACCAGCAATCTTAAAAGCCAAGCCTTAATTGAGGCCAACTATCTTTGCTAAACCGCTAATTAAAGATGACAGACCTACAGCAGTTGTTGCAATCAAGAAAACCAGAGATATCTCAAGGTGATCCACTGGCTCTGAGAAGACAGAAAGTAGCAATCCATACCTACATTTCTTGTATCACTACAGCAAGGGCATTATCAAGCTGTCAAAGGGACACCTAACCTCCCTTTCTACAACTCTCACACTACATCAAAAGGTAAAAATAAGCAAGTGTCTGTGTAGATTGTCCTTTCGTGTTGGGTTTTGAATTGAATCCTGGTCCTGATGATGTCTTCCAAGGACACATGCTTTTTTCCTCAGTGCGTCCCTCACCTCATACTACCTGCTTTTAAGCTGGGCTGTAATGGAAACAAAAGGAGAAAAAAAGAAGCTCCTCCTCTGCCAAACTGTTAGTCAAAGCAAGTAAAGGAAGCTTTTAGTCCATGTAAACCATCTCATCCAGCAGATATGCTCAGATTTCCAGCCCCCTTTATAGTAATTTTAGTTCTTTAACACAAGACTACAAAGCCTATGGTTTCCTTTTCATGTAGCTGAAGCAATTCCACATCTGAAAAGACACATATAAATTATTTCCTGGAGACTTAAAAAAAAAAACCAAACAAGCTGCTTTTCCTTTCCCTCACAGCAGCTACAAAAGAATAAGCAAATTTTATGTAGATGTGGTAAAAGCAGGCCTTGTTTCTCTTGTCAGAAGAGGAACACATGACGAAATGAGGAGAACAGCATCGTATCTTTGCTGTTCACTGCCTTGCTACCATCTGCTCTTCACCACATATAACACTGTATTGATTATTCTGCTCAGACTGAAGTTGTGCAGCTTTTGCTCTGTAGTTAAAAATCAGTCAAGAAATAGCCTTCCAGTCTCTCATGCTTCCATAAAAGACGCAGCCTTTATGCAATGCAACAAGCCAGCATAAGCCACCTCAGGCACCTTCCCTCTGCTAGTTGTGCTTTTATGTGGCACACAACCACGGCATGAACTCAGTGCTGCGCTGACAAACAATAGCAGAGAAGTATCATATGGAAGCAAAGGCACCCAGGGATTGTCCTGCCCAGGTAGAGTGCCTCAAACATGCTTTTACCAAGTCTTCTAAAACTATGGCCCTTCACTGCCTCGGAATAGAAACAAGCATCATCTATACTGCCAAGAAAAGCACAGAAAAGCAGAGGTTTTTTATCATGTCATCAGTTACCGCACACGTGGAAAGGAGGGCATTTTGTTACCACTAAAAACTCAAGTAATGGAAAAGGTATCAAAGGGGTAATGACATTTATATTACCTCGCACAGAAGTCTTAATGAGAAGTGTATCACAATTTGAAAACTTGGAACTAATAGCACTTAAATAACAGAGATTCGTGCCTTCCTCCTAGTTTCATATTAGGTTTCAAACTATTAGAATTATCACACTGAAGTTTAAAGACCCTGTTATGTAAGTATAACCAAAGCAGTTAAAGATCAAGTTGACTTCTCACTCTGCTGCCTTCTCCCACACCAACAGTTAGTCTTGCTGGCCTGTTCTACAGACAATGCCAAATTTTTTTCAAAATAATCCCTGGTGGGATGTGGCAACATACAGACAGCAAGTCAGGAAAAGTCCTCCAGCAGATCACAGTTCCTACTTTTCCTATTACAAAATAAACATCTGTCCTAAGAACACTGGTGTGTAGAAGAGTCTGCAACATTTAAAGGCTGCCTCAGGGGTGTTAATCAGGATGGCTGAAGCACATAGCTGAAAAAAGTAGTGAAAGAAGACAGTTTTGTACTGGACAAATTTTAAGCAATCAGGCAGGAGATGGACCTTAAGGCACTCTACAAGTAAACTGTATAACAAGTGGAATGACACATTCATTTAAGAGACAGAAATGGTGTATTTCTGTTCCAGGATGGAACAGAATTTGAACTGGAACTGATTTGAGCTGGAACTAATTTGAAGCAACAGTGTAAGATGTGAGGACAGAAACAAGAACAGTACACAATAAGCTCTCACCTTTTCAGCCCAGCCACGCAAACCAGGCCTTTTCCCTATTCAAATTAGGAGATGAAGCTATAAATGCCTCTCACCTCGTACTAAGAATTTCAGAATCAAAAAAAAAAAAAATCAGCATGCCTTATAACTCAAAGAGATAAAGAAAAGCGCAATACGGAGCAAGGGAAGTAAAGGATTAGCACAGCAACGAAGGAAAGAACTACTACAGAGCTGATACCATACTTGTGTTTATCACATCAAATACAAAGGGAAGGAACAATTCACTCACCAAAATCAGAAGATATACCAGAGATGAAAGACGGCTACTTTTTACTTGAGGACTGCATGAATAATTGTTAACGAAATTCTCAGAAAAGATAAAAGCTGTGCTATCATATTTGGCTGAGAAGGTCTTTAAACAAAATGACTTTTCAATTAGAATCTGATTTCACAATAAGTGTATTTGCATTACAAAATAGTCATCTCTTACCAGCTAAATTGCTTCAGTTTTTCATACTGCTATTACATATTCCAGCAGGACAAATGCTGCTGAAGATCAAACAGTTGTGCATCTTGAACTATTCCATTAATTTTTCATAAATACATAATAGGCGAGTGCGTTTGCACTTGTCACTGTTCTCACGTTACAGTACTCTGAACACCAGCTATCCATGCCTCACACGTGTTGTGAATTCAGAGATCCATGCCTGCTGCCGGCTCCCCCGTCGTAATCCTTTCCACCGAAACACCCCATCCGTGCAAAAAAGGCTGGAGAGCAGATTAAGCCTCACCTGATACAGCCCAACCAAGCCCTGCTTCTACTCAAGTGGGAACTAGGAGGGGAATCCCATGGATTATGTTCACATTCAGATGTGCATAAAGCCACAGCAACTACAGGCACACATCCCAGACAACAGGCAGACAGGTGTGTAACATCTCCAGTCAGTAGAACAACCATCAGCAGCTTCCTGGCTAAAAAGTTTCACCTCAGGAGCTCAGTTATCCATCTTCAGGCCATCCCAATAATCACTAAAAAATCATACTCCTCTAAAGCTAAACTAAGGAGGAAAACAGAAATCACTATTTTGACTTCAGCATAACATTTTCCAGGTCCTTTCCTATTTCTAATCAAATTACACCTTCCGTAAGCTTAAGCTTCACAGCAATAGTCAATGTACAGGACCAGCACTTGCGAGTCACTCACATGAATACAGTGACATGTGAGAAGACAACTTGAGTCAATCATTTGACTTCTGTTTTCCTTGAAGTTGCACTGCTGCTTCTTAAAAATAATCTTAAGCAGCTGCAATGAAAAAAAAATAGAGGAGGGAATGAGCATTTTCCACTTCTGCAGAAAGCTTCAGGGCGCCTGAAGTAGAGGCTGCAAAGGTCCAAAGATCACACCCATGGGCATGCACTGAAACAGCGATGACAGCACCGTCCTGTCGGACCAACAGCCTCTCAGTTCAATATGCCAGTCACACTGGGCATTGGGGAGACCTGAGCCTGCACCTCGTTTATCAACCAGTAACTCGGATGAGCTGGCTTTGATTTGTATTCCCACAAGTGGAAGTCCCCAGAGCCTCACCTCTGCAGTCACTGACACCAAACAGCGTACTCTCACCACCTTTAAGCACACACCTGAACTTAGCAGACACGGGGGCTACAGTTAGACCACCCTCAAATGTACCTCAATGCGTAGGCCAGCTCTTGTGCTGCTCCACCATAAAACATGCACTAGAATACCAATCTAGTAACATTTTGTGGAAGACAGCATTTTTTCAGCTGAAAACCCAAAAGCCATAAAGACGTATTTACTGCTTTTTGAATTGCAGCCCGAGTCACACAAGACATCTGCACAGAGTCCCAGCACATATGAATTCCGAAGGGACAACTGGATCCCAAAAAGCACAGAAAAGCTCTGAAGTTCATGCCCTGAGGGGTTCAGGTCAGCATCTCAAAGGAAAGGAGATCAGCAGAGCCCCGCCTCCCTTCTCCAAGTTCAAATCTGGCATCAGGAGCAGGTAAGTGGATGAAAGCAGGCTCCTTGACCTAATTTTTTGAAGGGCTTCCCCCTTCATGTCAGTGACAGTTACTCCTATAACTTTCTCTCTCACTGTTTGCACCATACAAGTTGCACACAGGCCACACGTTTTTAACTGCCCAGTCCAACAGATTGGAAAGAATGCCTCCTTCTAGACCCTGAACCGCTGCTTTCCTAATTCTCCCTTGTCTTGACGTTAGAAGACGCTTCCCATATACGCACATGCAAGAAGCCCAAATATGCCCTCATGATTGTTTTTTCTTACATGTTTACCAGCTCTACATTCAAATTCAGACTGACAGACTGTCACAATACACCTCCCTAGGTAAGCACCAAACGTGCAGTATTTGAAGCTTAAATCAGAGCACTGCAAACAGGTTCCAAGTGGGTACTATCAAGTATAGCAACATGATAAATTGAAGAAATAGATGAACAGCAAAGATATTTTAAATGCTGGATTGCATAAATTACATTCTAGTCCACATAAAGGATTCAGGCTAGTGTCATCTGTCTGAAGAGCAGCCATAGAGTCCAGCTTTTCTATTTACATAAACGCTTCAATATAAATGCCTGCATTACTCCCCATGACAGAATTAATCTACTAATTAATCTGATGACACGCATCTGATAAAACACACTTTTGCTGACTCCATTCATTTCCTCTTAATTCTGTCCGGTTCATCGTTTGCCCAGTAACATGTTGATTTGGGTTATTTCCAATAATACTGTAATTAATTAACATTGTCATTTTGGATTGACCTTTCCCTGGCGGAAGAAACCAACCCCTGAGAAGCACCAAGATGCACTTTGGTACCACCTTCACTGTAGCACTGGCTTTGCTGTCCCCCTCACCCAAGTTCCTGCAATTCTGTTCTTTTCACCTCTGAATATGCTCGAAGTTTGTCACCACAAAAAGGCGCCGTGACAGAGAAGCTCTTAGAAACCCAGCTCTCTTCCTCGCTCTGCTGGGGCACAGAACCAAGCCTGCATTTGCTGGTTTCAGCAGCAGAGAAGGGTCGGGGTGGCAGGTGGAGACGGCTGCCACAAGTCAGCAACACGCTTACCGGTCTGTCTGAAGAACGTGGATGAGATGTTCCATAGCCTGGATGCCTACCTCCAATCGGTATTTCTAGTTGGAGAAAAATTGACTAGTTAATGGCCTAGCGCAAAGACCGAACTAAGCTTTTTAAGCAATACATTACAAAGCCATTAAAAGCACCCACAGCTCTTCAGAAGCTGGGTACTTACCTTGGATAATGACTTAAGAGCACGCACAGCATCCCTCCGATCATCCAGTAAAGTGGAAGAAGCGACTCGGTCACACAACTTCTGAATCTGGGAACGTACAAGACACGCGTGTAAGGGACACGGTCCCAAACGCTCCACCACCCCACGCACCTCGGTGTCAGGAATTCTCCGGCCGAGCCGGCAATTCCTCACGTTCAACTGTAACGCCGTTTCCCCGAGCAGAAGCCGGCACGACCGGAACCAACCCGAGCGTGTCAGCGCAGCCCCGGCCCGCTCGGGAACGGGACGGGACACGGAGCGGGGCTGCCCGGACCTGCGAGCAACGGCGCCGGGTTCTCAAGGGAGGGGCGGCCGCTCCCGAACCAAAAATAAGCGGCCGGCACCGACCTGCGGCCGCCGGCTCAGCGCCGCTCCCCCGCCGCGGCCGCCCAGCAACGGCTAGGCCCCGCCGAGGCGCCGCCCGCCCCCCGCTCACCGTCTCGGCGCCGGAGGGCTGCGGCCCGGCGCTGGGGCCGCCCATGACGCCCCGCAAGAAGTTCATGGCGGCGCGGTCCGGCTCGGCCAGCGGAACTCGGCCCGCAGCCCCCGCCGCCGCTCCCGCACCCGCCGCCGCCCCCCGCGACGGAAGCGGCCGCCGCGCCTGCGCCGCGACGTGGCGCCGACGTGGCCGCCGGCGGGCGAGGGGGTGGGGCCTGGAGGGAGCCCCGCCCCCCCGGGGGGCGGTGGGCGGGGCGCTCGGGTTCGCGTCCTCCGCCGGGTCCGGGCTCGGGTGGCCTCGCACTCTCTCCCCGCCCCCCCCGTGGACTGCGGCACTTCATCCGCCCGCCCACGCTGATGGAGCCAAAACACGCTCCTACGCCCTAATCACCCGCCTCGTTAAGCTTTTTAACGACGGGAGAACGCGAGGAGGACGCTCAGCCGTCACGCCCCGGTTATTCCGCGCTGATAGTGCTTTCTACCATTATTGTTTGCTCCCCACCCCGCCTCCCGCCTGCGTTTTTCACTAGGAAAAACTAGTGAAGCAGGGAAGAGTTGTGAATACCACTTCAGCAGAGGTTTTGCTCAGAATGAACAAGCCAGGCGCAGGGGCTGGGACCATTAACCTCCCAAAAAACTGAACCCAGCGCACCCCTGTAACCCAGTTCCCCCCGGCGTCTTGGGGGTCTGCGTGTCCAGAACCACCCCCGGGCTTGGAATTCAGAAACTGCGTTTGCTAATAACACCAAAGGAAAATGGGATACCAACTCCTAATTAGAAGAAAAATCCTGTATTGCATTTTTGCAACGGAACAATCTCAGTGACAAACAGAGGGTCAGCAGATACCAGCGATGGTTCAGCTTAAGAGCAGAGAACCAAGCAGTTAAATTTGATTCAGATGCTGAATTTCCCCACAGCAGATGCCACCACAGCCCTTCCTGTATCCCTGCTTAGGGTCAGCAGCCAAGAACCAGCACTCCAGGAGCTCCCAGCCTAACGCAGCCCTCCTGACCGGCACCCAGAGGGGTTTTAGTTCAGTAGTACTTTGGGTTTTCTGCATATCAAATTGCAGCAAATCATATAGCAACAATCGTAAATTAGCACAGAAAGAAACCGATCCTTTTAACTGGGACTAAAACTAGATCATTTAATTCCAGGGAGAAAACCCCTCTTGCATCACAATTTAAGAGCTTTGGGAATTTTATTTTCCTCATCAACTGAACAATTAAATCAACATTTCAAATTAAATTACGTAGCTGAAACTAAACATTACTCATCCCATATCCTAAAACTAATAGCTTTTGGATGTGGCAAATGCCTCAAACTAATAAAGAGAAGATGCAGAGCAATCTCATCTAATTTCTGCAATCTTTCACACACACCTGCAATTCATCTCTCACCTGCCCTGCATTCTCCCCCTTTGAGGGAAACACCTTTTATAAGCAACTGCTTTTTCCCCAACGTGATCTTCCACAATAGGCAAGAAAACCCAAACTTACTCCCAAGCTCAGCTTGACAAGCGCTCTCCCTGCAGTGCCACCAGAAACCTACCAAAACCTTGTGGCTGGCTGTGGTTCTCCCCTTCCACCCCTCTTCCCTCCCCCCAGACACCCCCTGGCATGGGGAGCAGAGGATTTCTACCTTGCTGGACAGTAACGAAACCTTCGAGGAGGAACCACCAGTTGCTTGACAGCAAACACAGCCATGTCAGCAGTTGGGTGGGCAGCAGGACACAGCCAGCCTGCAGCCACAGCGCACACCTGAGGCTGGCTGCGCTCCATCCTCCCCCCGAGGCAGCACAGCAGCTTGGCTCCGGGGCCAGAGACAGAGCTGGAGGAGCTTGGCACCCCTGAAGCTGTGTGCCCCCTCCCAGCAGTCAGCTGGCTCCTCAAAATGGAGCCAGAGCCAGCTTACAGCTGCCCTGCTCTGTAAATTCCTGGGATGCTCTCTTACGCTTCACTGCCCAGTAGTAGAGAAACAGATTTTTCTTCCAAAAAAAAAAAAAAAGTCTTCTAAACAAAAGGGCTTTGGATAGCATAAAGGTGAAGAAAGGATCCCCCCCCCCCTTTCCAAGGGGATGGTTTAAGGTGCTTACCTTTTTGGGCCAGCTGCAGATACACACCAGAACACATCAGAAACACTCAAGTTGAGCTAAGGAAAAAAAAACCAAACAAACAAACAAACAAAAAAAAAAAAAAAAAAACAAACCAAAAACCACATTCTCCAAAACAAAGTTCTTTATTTCAAAGTTTTACCATCCTTACATATACAGATCGAGGGAAAGAAACTGATTTGCTTCAAAGAGATTTGATATGACTCAACTTCTAAAGGCACCCACACCTCAATTTTTCACACGTCAATGGGGCAAGCCAGAACCTTCTCAAATAAGCTCGGAGGTATAACACCCTCCAGGGTCCAGCTTCTGTCACACTAGGAAGCAATTATTCGATATTTGACCCGCAATCGTTGATTCTTTGAGATCTCAGCACAGCTCAAAAAACCCCTCTGTTTCAGGGAGGAGCTCCGAATTAATTATTTGAGTTACGAATACGGGAAAAGCTCCGCACGGAGATACCTGTTTTAAACCAACGCTGACGATACCCCTTGCTTTTTGGATTGCTGAAATCCTCCGACAGAAGCAAAGCGCTGCCTCCCGTCCGGAAGCAGCCGAGCCAGAGCGGTGGAGGGAGGGAAGTCCCGCCCGTGAGGGGCCGTACACTGCCACGGCCGTCCATGCCACGGCGATCGGCGCCGCGAGGGCCCGCCGCACCCACAGGCCGCGTTCGGTACCGAAAGCGGAGCGGGATTAGTTAAATCCCGTGGAAGGAGCGGCCAGTACCCACCGCTCCCGCCCGGGGCCCGCTAGCGGCCCCTCCCCGCGGCCGCGGGGCGGGAAAGGCGCGCTCCAGCCGACGTCACAGCGGAAGGGCGGCGGGGATTGGCGGGGAGCCCCGCCCCGCCCCTCGCGGCCCCGCCCGCGCCCGCCCTCCCTCCGCGCAGGCGCGCAGGCACGCACGCACAGGCACGCGCGCACCGGAGCTCCGGCCGCCCCTCCCCCACCCGGCCGTGACATCGCCGCCGCCGCCGCGCCCCGCTCGCCCCCCCCTCCCCCCCCCCCGCCCCCGCTGCGGGACACGCCGAAGGGACACGCTTCGCCGCGCCCGACACCGAGCAGGTCCCGGGGCGGACGTGCCCCGGCCCCGCGCACCCGAGACTTTTTCCCTAGGTGGGCGATGGGGGATCGGGGGGTAGGCCCCGCCGCGATGCGGGGCGGGGCGGGGTTGGGGGGCCGCTTAACGGTCGCGGGGCTGAGGGGAAGCGGCGCGCGCCGGCGCGGGCAGCGCCCCGGGGCCCGGCTTTTGCCCTTCGCCGCCCGCCCCGCCCCGCCTCGGCGCGGCCGAGCCCAGCTGCTGGCTCCCGGCCCGGCTCCCTCACCCGGTGTGGCGCCGGGCCGGGCCGGGGCGCGGAGCGGAGCGGGAGGGAGGGAGGGAGGGAGGGGGCTTTTGTTCGCCGTCACCTTGGCGGCGTGTCGCCTGCCGGCGATCGCTCTTCCGCGCCTCGCCCCGGGCGGTCCGGGAGGGGGTGGGGGGGGGGGGGGAGCCGGGGGGAAGCGCCCCCTCGGCCGCCGTTTCCAGCGTCGCGACCCGCGTTACTTGGTGCTCGTCTGCGGCGTTGGGCCCTGCGCTCGCCGTTCCCCGGCTTGCCTCATGCATTGCCTGCCAGGGGCCTCTAGAGGTGTCTGGACTTCGGCAGGGGCAGGCTGCCGCTTCCTCCGCCGCGTTCGTGCTGCAGCAGCAGCCTTGGCCTCCCGTCCGCGGCTCAGCGAGTCCCCCTGCTCTCTTACGGACTGGCACTGCGGTGGCATCGCTGGCTGTAAGATCTCCCGCAGCTCTGCACACCTCGCCTTTCTCCTCTTCCTCTTTCCTCAGTCACAACCTGAGCTTTGCTGTTTTCACTCGTAATATGGATGAAATTGCGCCTTTTATTCTGCAGATCTGGATGCCTTGAGTAGATCTTATGCAAGCTTCTCTCATTTGTCTTCTGAGCCAGGCTCAGTGTCTTCTCGAGCTTTTGCTCCCCTTCACCTCGGAGGGCTAAAGTAGAGGTCACTGCAGTTTCAGTGTTGGTGCACAGGAACATCCCCACGACAAAGCCTTTAAATCCCTTGGTTAGTTGGGTGACCCTCGATCTTGAGCTTGGTGCCAAGCACCACTGCATGAGAGAACTAATGCAGTACAGAATACAGCATTATGTTTTGATTTCAACAAAACTTAGTCGGTCACGTAGATTTTATTATTGTGGCCTTCCATGTTGGTTTGGCAATTCCTGAGCCTTCTATACGTTCTAGGCATTTCAAGTTCAGTGTGCAAGCATTTTCCTTTGCTAGAGAAAGAAGTGTAAAGATACCCAAGGTGGTTTTGAACTGTTGAGAAACAGGGCAAGTTATTTTGTTCCTTGCCCAGTTCTTGTGCAGGTAGACTATTTATACACCTGTATGTTTAAAGCCAGCAGAGTATTCTTTGATCTGTAATGGGATGGAGGAGTATGAGGGGAAAGATACCTTCTGTTAGTAAGCATTATTTTTTGTATACAGCACTCTCTGCTGTCTTAGATATCTTAGGGTTTGGTTTGGTTGTTTTGGTTTGTTATTTTTTCATTTGTTTTACGGACACTTTTAATTAGGGAGTAGTAGCAGAATGAAGATCAGTGACCAACTTAGAAGAAATGGTTACTGTGTACCGTGCCATCCCGCTCAGTGCTGTGTGGCAGACTTCATCTGGAGTAATATGGAGCAAGCACTGCTACATATACCCAAGTTCTGAAGGTAGTATGGCTGTGTCATCCTAGCCCTGTGAGTGGGTATAGGGTTTGTCAGCTTGCATTCTGAGCTGAGAAGGTGGTGTTACTGGTATTGCTTTAGCTTCTGGAGTTAATTTGTCATTAACGAGACATTCTGTGTTCATTGTGACTGTAAGTATGCCTCCGGGGCCACACCTGCCCTAGGAAAAAAGCCTTTTCATTCTTAAGGACTCCTTCTTGTTGTGGACTCTGGTGTAAGAGAGGTAATCTTGGTTTACCATTTGAAATGTTTGTGAAATGTTCTGACTGGCAGATGTGGGCTCGCCATGTGGAATTATGATCTGTATCATGTTTTTTTTTCATTAGTAGTATAAAATCTTTTCTGTGATAATTAGCTTAAACTGAAGAGAAAAAAATAATAAGCTGACCATCCCATCTATTTATCCTTATGCATCCTTATGAATAAAATGTTTTCCTTTATGGAACTGAGGTTTCACATTATACATCTACTCCACACTTAAAGAATATTTTACAGTTCTGAAAATGTGATGAGGAAACACAGTATCTTAATGCACAGCGGTGAATAAGAGTCTTAGCTCTTACTGGAGCAGTTGTGACACTGGATGTCATTTCTTTTGAGAGTATTTGACACATGAAAAATTGCGTTGCAACTCAAGAAACATGTGAGAAGATCAGTATGTCAGACTAATAGGTATATCACATGAGACACCAGAAGAAAGGCACTGAACCTGGCATTGATGGTGACACAAAGAGAGATGCAGTGGCTTGCCCAGAACTGAAGGTGCCATTGGCTGCGGTTGCTATTGTTACTTTGATTCAGGTGGGTGTTAGCTCTTCTGGATGGTGCAGTTTAACTGCCCAGAAGATGGTCCCCTACAGCCATGCGCCTAAAATACAGGGTGCTATTAAGGTCCCTTCCCACCACCACCCCACCCCCCTCCCCCAAAAAAATCACCCAACCCAGCAGAACAGCTTGATTTGAAAGATCTGCATGGGAATCAGCCAGTTCAGATTGTAGTGGATTAGGTAAAGGAGATTGTAAAGTAAAGGGATTCTGGTAGATTAGACAGGTTTGGTGGCCCTTACTGCAGATGGAGGATGATCTGAGGGCTTACATCGAAGAGCATGAAAGAGAGAAGGTAGTTTCAGTACCTTCTGGTCCCAACCTGGGATGTTTGGGACTTTTGATGGCTCAGTACTTTTTCATTTCAGTTGATGCTTGTTTTACTTTCCCATGAAGTACCTGCCAGCCTTTGCAGGGCAATTTTACAGATGCCCTGGCTTGTGCCAGCTGGACTGTCAGCTGCTGTTCAGTTTTTTAGCTTTCTTCAAGGTGTGGCTGCTTGCACAGTGTGTTGCAGTAGTAGGATCTCAGAGTCATGCTTATGGATTACGGTAGCAGGCATGCTCTTTAAGGCATTATTTGCTAGTTGCAGTAGGAAACGCAGTTTAAAAGTGATAATCTGGATTTAGGACAAACCTGTCCCAAGATTATGAATGCTGCTGTCCCCTTCCCTTCCTTTTTCCCTTGGCTCTTGCAGTGTGGGAGGCAGCACAGTGTCCCCCATGGCTTTGCTTTGCATGCTTACTGTGTGGGGAGCATCGTTCTGTTTTGCAAGAGTGTTTTGCCCAATTTTATTTTCGGTTTAAGTGGTATATTCAAATCTGATCAGCAACGTGGACACAAGTTGCAGATTTATGGATTTAAGAGCAAGCCACACTTGCAGATTTATGTAAAACTGACTCGATGTCTGTGTGCCTTTAGTTATGGACGAATTGTTCTATGGAAGAATTGTTCAGAGGATTAAGTTTACTTGTCAATAAAGCAAAATGTTTTACTTGCTCGTATTTTTTTACTAAAACAAATGGTGAGGCCTGCATCTCCCCCTCAAAGATTAAAAGTTTGTCTTGATGGAGGTTACCTTCAAGTTCAGATGACACTTTGACACTTTCACAAGCTCCTGTCAGAACTTGGTTCAGATTTTGTTTTTATTTTTTTGAAGTAGAATTGGTGAAGCGTCCAGGCAGTGTCACAGTTGTTGGTCTGTCTTGAAACAGGATGGAGGTGGCTTTGAACTACATCTTTTGCCACAACCAAAGACTTTGTGCCAAAGTTTATTCTCTGGATACCTAAATTTGAGTATGTATGCCACCACTCTGTAGCTCGGTCATTGCCTCAGGTAACTCAATGCCTTGCCACAGATGACTAGTCACACTTCTTTTTTCTACGGGATAAAGGAAATAATAATGAGAAAGCTTACATATGTTTTAGGAAGAAATCTCTTCTCTAATGTGAGAACTGCTTCTTGAGCAAGACACATGCCAGTGAACATTTTGACTGCTCAGCACATGGTAGCCATCAGTACTTCCTCAGAAACAAATTGCTGCTGCCCTCCAGTTCAAACTGATGGGTGATAGTTTGCGTAAGGTTTTTTTCTTATTATTCATTTAGTTGAAGTGATGACAAACATAGTTTTAATAAATAAAGTTTTATGGATAGAGATGATTACAGGCTGAATTTCCATGCCATTAATTGAGAAATTATTGTAGCAGTTGGTTCCCAAGTACTTCAGCGCAATTGTCCTAACGTGAGCTATATCTCATCCTTTTAGCCCTGAACAGTTTAATCTCATTGCAAAGGCTATCTTCTTGTTTTACTTGTCATGGCTGGCTTTTGTTATCCTAGACCATTGAAAGATGTTTTTCGTGGAATTGGGGAAAGTCTGTAATAAGCTTGTACCCGAATCTAACAGAATCTAGCTGGCATGTTGTCACAGTTAAATGAGTGTTACTGTTTATTTCAGCGCTATCCTTCAGTTGTACTTGGTGGTGTTCTTTGGAGGAAAATACCCTTTCTGCTTTTGTTATTTTGCTTATCTTTGCATGCAAGTAACAAATAGTTTCTTTCTGTGTTAACTCTCCCATTGTTTTTGTTTTCTTGAAAGAAGTGACCCTGGAAATAACTCAAGATAGGAACTTGGTTGTTTGAGGTAACTGTGACAGTCTTATCCAGTTCTGCCTGCAGGCTTCAGTTGTTAAGTTG